TGATCTCCCTGCTAAAAAAAGAAAACAAGCTCATACCAGCACCAATACCTCACAGGCTAGTCTGCCACATTCTGCTTCCTGGCGTCCTCTTATAATCTAGTGCCTAAGTTCTATAGTCTTTGGTACAGACCTTCCTAGAAGGCTTGGCTCCAGAATCCAGTTCTCTCTGAGGTTCCTCCCCTTTCAGGACCCAGACCCAGGATGCCAGTTGCCCTACCTGCTTGGCGCGCTCTTCTTGTTGCATCAACAACGCTGCCTGCTGCTGTGCCAGCTTCAGCCGCTCCTCCTCTGACAGCGCCACAGGCTCACCCACCCGGAGAGGAGGCGGGGGTCCCAAGTTTGGTGGACGGGGTCCAACTGCCATAGGAAAGCCAAGGCCAAGGCCTGGTGGAGGCGGTGGGGGTGGTGGAGGAGGCTGCAGAGGGGGGAGGCCCATGGGTGGTGGTGGCATGGGAATTCCAGAGAGCTGTGGAAAAATACATGATCATAATCTAGGAAGCATTTATCTACTGCAGACATTTTCTGGGGATCTACTATCTGGCAGGTGCTGGGATTCAAAGTCAAATGATATACAGTCCTTACACTTAAGACAATACCATAACAATACCAAGAGAAGATGTTAACTTCGAGACACCAACCAATGAAAGCTATTGATTTTCTCCTCAGAAAAATATCATGAAGACAGATTTTGCATACAATTTCAGGAGATTCAGGGACACCTCTAAAAGCCATCTAAGGACTCCTCATCTTACACAAAAGTCAATGGACCCCAGGTCAGACCCACTGCTCTACAGAACAAGAGTCATATCCTGGATCAGAAAGGACACTCAAGTTGAGGATTTAAATAAACAGGAGACAGTGTGTCCCAATGACTCACTAAATGTAAAGGGTATGAAATCAAATCAAGGAGTGAGCCCTAATGTCCCAATGAATAACAAAGGAACTATGTCCCAGAAGGACAAAGAAGACAGTAATTACTTCCAGCCAGTTTGGGGATGGGGGTGGGGACTGGGGTAGGGGTGTGGAGGTGGATCAAGTCAGGCTTCCAGATATTCAAGCTGAACTTTAAATGATAAGTAGAATTTCACCTGGCCAGTGTGGCTCAGTGGTTGAGCATCGACCCATGCACCAAGAGGTCGCTGGTTCAATTCCTAGTCAGGGCACATGCCCAGCTGATGGGCCCAATCCCCATTGGGGGGCATGCAGGAGGTGGCCAATCAATGTTCTCTCCCATCAATGTTTCTATCTCCCTCTCCCTTCCTCTCTCTCTAAAATATCAATAAAGAAAAACATTTTTAAAAAATAAATGATAAGCAGAATTTAGAGGAGCAGACACACTGGGGAAGGAGGCAAGGATCAGGACCAAGGGAGAATTGGAGAGTTCCTAATTCTGTCATTGCAGCACCTCCCTGCCCTATCTGCTAGCTGTATCCTCAATACACTATTTGTGAGAAGAGGCTACCCTAAGCAGAAGGGATCTTATAAAGTGGAACAACCTCCTTACCTGTGCTGACATGGGAGGGGGGGCTGCTTTGTCCCCATCCTCACCTCTGAGAACCGGCCGATTCAGTACGATACCAGTCTACAAAAGAGACAGGATGCTAGGTCATTCCAAGAGCAGCTATTCCACTAAACGACGTTCGCTCCCATTCATGCAACAAAATATACCCAGTGCCTGTCTGCCCGACCTCGGGCTGGGCACTGGGGAGGACCAATATGTGTACAGAAACGATTACAACAGGGCACGACAATAACACGCAAAAATGAAGACCCGCTAGTTGTGACGAGATACACAAAGAATGAAGGCCGAGTTGAGAGGTCATGAAGGCCTCCTCCAGAAGTTCGGCCTATCCCAACATCCCGCCGCCAACACTTACCTGGCGGGTGTAGCCCTGCAGCCGTTCCACCAGCTCCTCGCGACTCCCTGCTGGGCAAAGCACAGGAGCAATGAGTAGGTCAGGCCGAGCTCGCCAGGGAACCCAAGTCAGGCGCGTCCGTCCAAGTCAGGCCCCAGCGGCCCGCCTCCGCCCCCAGCCCTCGGGTCTCCGGGGTAACCAGGCTCCGCTTCCCCGCTGGGCTACGCTGCTGGCTCTTGACCTCCAGTGCTACTCACCTTGGATCGGAGCTCCGATCTCTGCCAATTTGGCCTGAAGCTCCTGGGCAGCCCAGGCGCCATAGTGCCCAGGAGGTGGCGGCGGCGGCAGCTGCAACTCTCCTTTGGGAGGCTCTGGATGCTCGGCCGCCATCTTAGCAAAAGCAAGCGCGCGACCAACCCGGAAGCTCGCGCCAGGCTCGGGGCCCACTTCCCGGAACTTCCGGCAGCGCCGTACGCCACGTCCCTTCCAGGGTTGGAAGGCTGATCAGATAGAGTCCCACCCCCTGTCGTTCTCCAATGGTCCCAAGGAGGCCTCGACGCGAAGCCTCCTGGGAGTTGTAGTACGGTGCCCGGCCACTGCACCGAGAACAATGGGCACGGGCGCAGGGGCGGGGCTGCGGAGAAAGCTGGTCCCTCCTGGAGGGCGTGCTTTCAGCGTCTGACAGGCCCGAGCGCGACCTCCTGCCTTCAGACTCCCTGATCCAGCGTGAGAGGCCCGGACGCTTACGTCCTCAGGAAGTCCCGAAGGACTCATTCCCCAACGGCCGCGCATTGCGGGCGCCAGAGCGGAAGGTTGCCGCCGATGCCTGTGATAAAACCGTGTCTGATTGTCTGCCCGCCCAGCTCCGGCCCAGCCCCGGCCCAGGTGTGGATGAATGCGCTGAAAGGGGATCGGAGCCAGGAGAGGAGCGGACCCACCCGGGCTGAACTCCAGCTCCCGACTGGGGGAAGGGCCACACTGAAAGCCCCTTTTTCCATCTTCCAGGCCGGCTCAAATGTCGTCTCCGCTAAACCTTCTCCCGCTTTCCTTTCCTTCCTTGGAGCTCCCATAACACGTTCAAACCTCCATTTGTTTTGAAGTCTTTCTTGCTCCTCTCCATCGCAGTCCCCAAGAACGTGAGCAGGGGCCTGATGTTCAAGAGACGCTCAATCAATGATTACTGGGGGAGGCAGGGTGGAAGTCTTTCTAGCCACAGGATTTGGGTCTTTTTTTAGTCTCCAAAATAAACCCAGGACCTTTTCTTTCCTCATCCCCACCAGTCTCCTGGGGGAGAGGTGGGGACAGGTCGACCTGCCCCCTACCCTCCCGCCCCATCCCCACCAGTGGCCTGTGCTCCTGAGGGAGAAATGGGCAGGTACTGTTTTCCTGACCCTACCTCTGCCACTCGCATCGAGGTCCCTCTGTCATTCTATTTCTGCACTGACTGGCTCAGTGTGAGTGTGTGTGTGTGTGTACACACACACGCGAGCGAGCGAGCGCCTGCACATTGGCTGACAGAGCCAAGAAACTCAAGTGAAATGGTCTCATTTCCCCCACACACCCACACCCTTCATATCTCTGGCATGCTCCATTTCACCAACTGCCTCCAACAGAGAAATAGCTGGGAATAGTGAAAAAAGAATGGGGTGCCAGGTTTATGAGAGACAGAGAAGAGGACTGGGCCAGGAAGAAAGACTGGCTAGGAAATTCTCTTCACTGCTGCCCAAAGCTTGACCCTTCCCACTTCTATCACTACCACCATCCCAGTCTCCTAAGACTCCCAGAGGAGAGGACAAACCCAGAAAGGACAGAAGAGAGAAGAGTGCTACCCGCCCCTCTGGCTTGTCAACCCACTCAAGCAGAACCATTCCTGACACAAAGGAAGTGTGTTTCTGCTCCCTGTAACTGGAGAGCCAATGGCAGGTCATCTGAGGCTAGAAACCCCAAGGCATATGTATGTGCTGGGGAAGCAGATGGGGGTTCTCTGAGGCAAGACAAACTAAAGGCTGATGGGTGAGGAGATGGTGTAGCTTAGGCCAGAAAGCAACAGCCCAAGAAAGGCTCCATTTTATCCTAAGCCCTGGGACCCAGGCAGGGTTAGGACCCCCATTGTTCAGAGGAGAAGACTGAGGAGCCAATCTGGGACAAGCAGTTCTTTTGACTCTGAGTGTCCCCATTCCCTTCTCCTCCTTAACAAGGACCCTCACACAATACCTACCTGTGTGGGCGTAAAATGGAATCTAGTCCCTTCAAGTTGCAGCTTTGGGTGGCTGCCTCAGCTCCAGGAGCCTTGCCATACCAGGCCAAGAGGGCAAGAGAAAGCAGGAGTCCATGAGAGCCATAGAACTAAATGTGAGGCTCTTGGTGTCTGGTGTAACTTTGGGAGGTGCTGCTGCCCAGCTCCCAGGGTACAGGAGCTAGGAACTAAGACAGCAGTAGGAAATTCAAGACCAGCCCCCACACATAGCTCACACAGAGCCTTCACATGTATGGTCTCTGCAGTCTCAGAACAACTCCCCATCAATCAGCTGGATGCAACTTTGCCTGGGCAGGGGCCCCAGGCTCACTAAGGCTCTGATCAGGAGTGAGTTGGTCTGAGGTCCTGGTGGAGAGATGGAGTGGGTCAGCAGCAAGGGGTTGCTTCAGGGGCAAGGAGGGGAAGGGGGCCCCAGGAGTGTGAGGGCAGACTGGACCAGCTGTGCTGGAGCTGTGGTTCTCAGATGGAGGGGGAAAGAGGAGCAGAAGAGGAGGGAGGGGGCATGTGGGTGCTTGTAAATGTATCTATGTCACTAGTTCCACCGAGACCCACCAGCCCAAGGATGACCAGAGGGGCCCAGGAATGTCCAGCAATGCCACGGTATACAGATAACTTCCAGGTCTCAGTTTCCCCTTTGTAGAGTGAGGGCAGGGAGCTGGCCACATTGGTGTCCCGACTCAGCAATGTTGCCAGGGGAAGATGCCTGCATCCAAAGATGCCACCCAGAGAATGTTCTTCAGCAGCCTCTGAGTCAGGGCTGCCCCCTCCCCTTCCCACTCCCCTTCCCCTCCCCCATCCCTGCGCTGCTTCTGGGCCCCCGCCCCCGCCCCGCCTCCAGTATGCGATGGGGGGCGGGCAGCGGGCAGAGCCGGAGCAGAGAAGCCGGGGCGGACGCCGCCACCTGATCCCATCCAGGCGCGGAGAGGAGAGCGACGGGCACTCCGTGCGCAGGGCCCCGGCGCCCTCGGACCCGCAGCGGACTTCAGGAGAAGGGTTGGGAGGTAGCGGCGACCACTCACCACCCGAGTCTGAGGCAGAGTCCGTGCGTGAGTACTGCGGTAGCCAACCTGGAGCTGGGAGGCGGGGTGGACCAGTCCAGGATGGGGGACGAAGGGTGGGCGGGAGAGTGTCCTGAGGGCCCGGTGCCTGGAGAGCAGAGGGGGCACCCTGCCCCCTGGGGAGTGGGAGAAGACTGGGTGAGAGGACGAATCTGGCCTATCCCCTATGGTGAACAGATTCCGGTGACATCCCTGGGGGAGGTTGGGATGAAACAGGGAATGGAGGTGGGGGAGGTAGGTCGTGATAGAGAAAGAAGGCAAGAGGAATTCGGAGGCAGGGATGACGCTGGGGTGGATGACAGGGAAAGGGGACTGGAGGGACTTGGTGCAGGCTGGTGGGGCAAGGAAGGAAAGGAGGGAGGTGGAAAGATATTTGATCTCCTAGGACACTAATTTGCAGCCTCCTCATCCTTTGGCCCCTTCCTCTCTAGTGCCCTGGGCAGTTTCCCTGTTTACTGGACTGTGCCATCCTCAAGTAAAGATGAAATTTCCAGGTCAGCCAAAGGTCAGGTCCTCAGGTCCAGGCAGTCCAGGCCAAGGCGCCCTCCTCTACATGCACCAGTATCAGCCCTAGAGCTTGGAAGGGGAGAGAGAAAGGGGCTCATTTGGGAGTGGGTGGCATCCAAGCCAGTTTGTAGAGCTCTGGCTAGCTATCCCATTTCTTCTTTGGTTCCCTGGAGAAGGGAAAGCAATTTGCAAACCTGGGCAACAGCCCGAGGTAGGTTGTTCTGACTAAAATTAGCACTGATATTCTGATGAGGCTGGGCACATTGACCTGTATGGGATTCCTGAGGGAAACTCTCCATGGAGAAGACACAGGGGAAGCCGGGAAGTAGTTTGATGTTTAAGAGAGGCAGGAGCCAGGGCCTGGCTCCAGCAGACCCACCCCACACCAGCCTGGAGACAGAGGAAAACTCAGTCCCACCTGGGGCACCAGTACCCTTACTCCATCTCCAGAAGAGACACCCAGGAGTGAACTTGCCGAGGGAAGGGAGGCTGCCTCCAATGTCCAAGCAGCACTCTCTCGGGCCCTGGAATGTTGATCCTGGCCGAGTGCCACCCAGAGAAGACAGGGTTACTGATTTCAAACACCTGAAAGTCTGTCATGGAGAAAAATTGGCCATGTGGTCAGGGAGGGCAGCACTAGCAACCATACAGAGTGGAAGGTAGAAGGGGACAAGCTGAGGATCCTAGCCATCCCAGAAAGAACTTTTGAACAGCCAAGGCTGCTCAGAAATGGACCAGGCTGTATCTGAAGATGATGAGCATCCCGTCATTGACGGTGGCCAAGCAGAAACTGGTGCCTGGGGAATTCTTGTGCTGAAGGTGCGCTGTTCCACGTTAGCCTCACACTGGAGTCTGGCTGGCTGGCTCCCTGGGGCTAAGGGGAATGGGTTGGAGAGGTCCACCTAGCAGCCCATCACCCTCTGTGTGGCCTGGTTGAAGCGTCTCCCAGGGAAAACTCCACTGTAGCTCCCTCCAGGCTTGACATCTTAGGGTGACCCAGAGTCCTCTCAAAGATAGGGTGGTGCCCTGCCCGGTTTGGCTCAACAATCGAGCTTCGGCCCACGGACCAATGAGTCTCAGGTTCGATTCTGGCCAAGGGCACATACCTTGGTTGCAGTTCGTCCCTGGCCCTGGTCGGGGTTGTGCAAAAGGCAACCAGCCAATGTGTTCCTCTCACATTGATGTTTCTTTCTCTCCCTTTCTCTCCTTCTCTCTCCCTCCCACTCTATCTGAAGATAAATAGAAAAGCCCTGGTCGGTTTAGCTCAGCGGTTGGAGCGTCGGCCTGCGGACCAGAGAGTCCCAGGTTCAATTCCCATTAGGGGAACGTACCAAAAAAAAAAAATAAATACAAAAATATCCTTGGGTGAGGGGGAAAAAATAGAGTGGTTTTGGTCCTGGCCGGTTTTGCTCAGTGGTTAGAGCATCAGCCCTCGGACCAGTGACTCACGGGTTCAGCCCCAATGAGTTATGGGTTCAATTCTGGTCAAGGGCACATACCTCGCTTGCAGTTTGTCGCCAGCCCTGGTTGGGTCGTGCAGGAGGCAACCAGTCGATGTGTCTATCCTCTAGGCAGGATAAATGACAAAGGAGAGGGCCTGCATCCTGAGGACCACTGGCTCTGACTTCCTCCTGAAGGCTGCCCACCAAGGCAGAGCCAGCCCTCCTCTGCCCTAGCCAGGCCGGGGGTAGGGGGCGGGCTTTCTCTGCTATGCCCTTGGTTGTCCTTTGTGGCTGGACTCTTCACCCCCCTCGGCTCCAGGCAGATTAAGTCTGTCTGCACGTGGGTACTAGGAAACAAGGTGATGGGGCCTGGACAAAAGGGAAAGGCATAACCAAGACATCTTTCCACCCAAACAGGTTTAAATGTAATCCAGGATTAATTGGGGTGGGGGGAAGGATTGTAAGCCAAGCCCAGGGCCCCCAGGGAAGGGGATGGTCAAAGAGTTTTCACATTACCTCACCCCTCCTGGGACCCAGGTGTCCTAGTTCCACATATGCACATGCCCACAAAGTTCCAGCCCCCCCCCCTTTGGACAAAGGGGTGTATGAGGCAAAAACTGAACCAGAACCTGGAGATCAAGGCCCCTGGGGCAGAGACCTCACCCTAGCTAGGGGACAGTACAGGCATTGCTACTGAAGCTGACTTTCCACAGGAGCTGCCAAGGGCTGGGCTGCCCTTGAGCCAAGGCATTCATGGGTGGGGACAGGTGACTGGCTGGAAACCAGGCCCTTCTGCCTCTTACACCTGTCAGTCACCTGGGATGCAGGCCTACCTTCTCCAGATTCTCAGCAGGGCAACAAGGGGAAGCCCCTCTGCATTCCCACACCCCTGCTCACTCCCAGGCTGCCATTCCACTGTCTTGGCCAGGCACCCGTCTCTCACTGTAGAGTAAGCTGATGGGGTGGTCAGGGTTTCAGGTGTCTGGGGATGGAACCCAGATAGGGTTCCAGGATTTCATGTCCTTCCTTTCTTTCCCTCATGGATTTATTGGTCTTGGACCCTCAGAGCGGGAGCCTAGGGAGGAGGGCTTAGGGCTCAGAAGTGCCAGAATCCAGGCAGGCTGTGGAAATCAGTTCTCCGTAGAAGCAGCGCACCTGTCGAAGGGTGTGGACTCTGGGGCCAGAAAGAGCAGGTCTGACCCCAGATTCTGCTAAGATCAGCTGTGTGGCCCAGGCAAGGACATCATCTTTTAGAGTCTCAGTTACCTTGTCTGTAAAGTGGGGATAATACCTGTTAGGGTTGAGGTGATTAAACAGAATTAAGTATATAATAGTAAGCCTGCTGTATTGGCCCCTCCCCACGTCAGAGACTAGAAGGTGAAGGAAGGCTTGGTCAGTGTTTCTGAAAGGCTCATTTTCTGGGGTGTCAAGACCAACCCTTGGCTGAAGCCATCAGGTAAAGAGTCCTAGAGGAGGGGAAACCTTGAGTTGAGACTTCTGTGCTCTGAGCCAAGCCTTGGTGCTAAGGCAAATCTGGGAGACAGATACAAATGGACACGAGACAAAGACGAGTTAGGGGCAGGCAGAGAAACAGAGACAGGGTTTAAGGGAGGAGTGGCTACAGCCTGAAGGGTTGGCCACACCCCAGAGCCTGTAATTCCACCCAAGACTAAGTTATCTGGAGCAGTGTGGAGATAGGGTCTTGGTGACGGGAGGTAGGAATCTGATCTTCCCTGGCCTCTCTGCTCACCCCACTCTTGGGAGCTCTCCTTTGCAGCACTCTGCTGGGGCTCGGAGCCCATCTCCTCTGCCCACTACAAACCTGTTTGCCTCCTTCTTCTGCCAGGCCTCTCAGGAACACTGGCCCTGCTACCAGAGCCTCAGGAGCCCCCATGAGTGCTGGCGAAGGGTGTCCTGGATAGCAAGACCCTGGCTAGTCCAGGGGTGGCTACTCCATCATGCCACCCATCCTCCAGCGCCTACAGCAGGCCACCAAGATGATGAGCCGCAGGAAAATCCTGCTGCTGGTGCTAGGGTGTAGCACCTTGAGCCTCCTCATCCACCAGGGTGCACAACTCAGCTGGTAAGGGGCTGGGGCCTCGGTGAGGGGGGCGGGGCCCAGGGGAGTTGCAGTCCTCAGGCAGCTAGCTAGCTGCCTGGTTAGCACCAGAACTGAGAGCGTTTCTTCCCATTCTTGCACCTGCCAGAAGAGTCTGTTTTTTGCTGGGCTTTGTTACTTCCCTCCATCCTGAAAGTGCTTTCCATACACCTCTTTAGATCCACACAACTTCCCGGGGCAGGGATTGATCTTCACTGAAATGGGAGTGACTTGCTCAAAGTCAAAGTTAGTCAGTGACTAAGCTGGACTCTAACCCAGCCCAAGTCTGCACGGCATCACATTCAGGGTGCCTCCCAAAGGACTGCAAACAATTTCTCACTACTGTCGTGCTGAGCAAGTCCTCTCACTTCTCTGAGCCCCCGTTTCCTCATCTGTAAAATAGAAATGATGGTATGTGTGACCCAGCTAGTCACCCTGACGAAAGATACCATGTGACAACTAATAGGAATCCTGATCCTACTCCTGGCTCCGGTGTGAACCCAGTAAATCCCTGCACCCCTAAGGGCTTCAACTTCCCCATTGTCTACATGGTCCTCCTAGGAGAATGGTGTGAGTGGGCCCAATCCCCCTTTCCAGATGATTTGCTGGTCTTTGAAAAGGCATCTGTGTAGACATTATTCTGAGCCCAAATCAGCCACAGATAGGAACTCTTAATGGTGTTTCAAAGCTGCTTAGAATTGTCCTTGTTACATTATGATTGGGATGGTAGAAAAGAAACAGAAGAGTGACTCAAAGTCTGAAAAGATCTTACAGGTCACCTGTAATCCCAAACACCCTGTTTCAGGAACAAGGAAACAGAAACGAAAGCTTCATGAAGAGTAGGATTATTATCTGTTTTTTACACTATCATATTTCTTGAGCCTAGAACAGTGCCTGGCACGTAGGAGATGCTAAAAAAATAGTCTGAATGAATGAATAAAGCTGCAGAGGTCTTAACAGAATCATATGACAAATGGGTTGCCTCAAAGCCCATGCCACTCATCCACAAGGTGAGGAGCCAGTGAAAATGTAAAAATGAAAAAGAAGAGAGTGGGAGGATTTGGTGACTTTATCTGGGTTGCCAGATTTATGTTTCTCCTTCTGGTCCTCGGTTTCTACAACTGTAAAGTGGACTTCCTCAAGGATCTCCAAGGGCCACTGTCCCTCTATTATTTATCTATTTCTATGTAACCAAATTACCTCAAAACTTCACAGCTGAGCACATCAAACATTTATTATCTCACTTCTGTGGGGCTGGAATCCAGGTGGGACTTAGGTGGGTCCCTCTGACTCATGGTCTCTCCTGGGGCTACAGTCTCATCTGAAGGTCTGATTGGAAGGGCTCCCCTTCCAAGCTCACTCATGTGGTTGTCAGACTTCAGTTCCTCAAGCAGGGGGATGGACTGAAGGCCCAGTTCCTTGGGAACTGTTGCCACGTGATGCCTCCCCATAGGGTGGCTCACAGGATGGCAGCTTGCTTCCCCCTGCGTTTGTTGTTCTAGAGAAAGACACAGAGATAGAAGCCATATCCTTGCTATAATGTAATCTCACAAGTGACATCCATCATTTCTGCCCTATTCTATTCCTTAGAGGCATCAATAAGTCCTGTCCATACTCAAGGGGAAGGAAATACACAAGAGCATGAATACCAGGAGGCCAGCAGGGATCACGTGGGTCATCTTAGAGGCCGCCTACCATAGCCCTCTACTGCTCTGTGGGTAAAGCCCAAAATGGGCTGCTCTGTAGCCCACCCCACCATCCTTGGGAAGGGGCAGGGGTCACACCCTCTCACACCCTCCTCCCTGCACCCCTCCCTGGACCCTGCAGGTACCCCAAGCTGTTCCCTCTGAGCTGCCCGCCTCTGCGGGACTCGCCACCGCGCCCCAAGCACATGACCGTGGCCTTCCTGAAGACGCATAAGACTGCGGGCACCACGGTGCAGAACATCCTGTTCCGCTTCGCCGAGCGCCACAACCTGACGGTGGCCCTGCCGCACCCGAGCTGCGAGCACCAGTTCTGCTATCCCCGCAACTTCTCGGTGCACTTCGTGCACCCGGCCACGCGCCCGCCGCACGTGCTGGCCAGCCACCTGCGCTTCGACCGCTCGGAGCTGGAGCGCCTCATGCCGCCGGGCACCGTCTACATCACCATCCTGCGTGAGCCGGCCGCCATGTTCGAGTCCCTCTTCAGCTACTACAACCAGTACTGCCCTGCTTTCCGGCGCGTGCCCAACGCGTCGCTCGAGGCCTTCCTGCGCGCGCCCGAGGCCTACTACCGCGCGGGCGAGCACTTCGCCATGTTCGCGCACAACACGCTGGCCTACGACCTGGGCGGCGACCACGAGCGCAGCCCGCGCGAGGACGCCGCCTACCTGGCGGGCCTCATCCGCCAGGTGGAGGAGGTCTTCTCGCTGGTCATGATCGCCGAGTACTTCGACGAGTCGCTCGTGCTGCTGCGGCGCCTGCTGGCCTGGGACCTGGAGGACGTGCTCTACGCCAAGCTCAACGCCCGCGCCGCCAGCTCGCGCCTGGCCGCCATCCCCGGGACGCTGGCGCGGGCCGCGCGCGCCTGGAACGCGCTCGACGCCGGCCTCTACGACTACTTCAACGCCACCTTCTGGCGCCGCGTGGCGCGCGCCGGCCGGGCCTGCGTGGAGCGCGAGGCGCGCGAGCTGCGTGAGGCCCGAGAGCGCCTGCTGCGGCGCTGCTTCGGCGACGAGCCTGTTCTACGGCCGGCCGCGCAGATCCGCACCAAGCAGCTGCAGCCGTGGCAGCCCAGCCGCAAGGTGGACATCATGGGCTACGACCTGCCCAGCGGTGGCGCCGGCCCTGCCACTGAGGCCTGCCTCAAGCTGGCCATGCCCGAGGTACAGTACTCCAACTACCTGCTGCGCAAGCAGAAGCGCCGGATCGGTATGCGGGCCCGGCCCGAACCGGTCCTGGACAATCCCCCGCCGCCTCGGCCCATCCGGGCACTGCCCCGCGGCCCCCCGGGCCACTGAACTCCGGGAGTCTGCCCTGGTAGTCAGACCTGGGGCTACCTCCAAGCCCTGCCTCATCCAGGACCCTACTCCGGAGGGGCTTAAGCGCCTCGCAGTACTTGGGGGTGCATCACCCTATCTGAGCCAGCCTCCCTACGGTGGGCTGAACCCCGCCTTCTGGGAGGGTGCTGATAGGCCCGATCGAGCCCCGGGCCATCCTCTCCTTCCTAATTGGTTGGTGACTTTTACTGGAGGTTTGAGACCTGTCCATAACTGTCCATTCTGCCTTTTTCTGGGGTTTGAGCCCTCTTTTCCAGGCGGATGAACCCAGGCCGCAGAGAGGGGCTCTGCCTGCCAGCCTCCCCGAGCTCTCGCTCTTCAAAAGTCCCCAAACCATCTGTCTTCCAGGTTCCACCCTCACCACAGATCTAAGCTGCTCCCAGACTCCCAGAACCACGAGTTCTTGGGTTGGGGTTTTTGTTTGTTTGGTTTTTCTTTTTTTTTTAAATAAAATATCGTTAAAATGTGCGGGTTAGCCTTGGCCGATGTGGCTCAATCAATAGAGCGTCAGTGGCCAGGGAAGGGTCACAGGTTTGATTCCAGGTGGAGGTCAGGTACCTGGATTGCAGGTTTAATCCTGGGCCATGGTAGGTACACAAGTGGGAGGCAACCGATCGATGTCTCGCTCTCTCTCTATCTCTCTCTCCTCCATCTCCCTTCCTTCCACTCTCTCTACAAAACAAATCAATGGAAAAAAATATTCTCAGGTGAGGATTAACAACAACAAAATGTGCAAGTTATATGTCAGTCACTGAAAGCCAGATTGCCCACATTTGATGAGGCAGATGCCCAAGAATAGCTGTGGTCACCATGGGGATCAGGACCCAGCCTCCATCACCTTCCTCCACTACTCAGAGGCGCAACGTTATTGACTGAGCCACCTCAGCCCCACTCATTTCCTTTGAGAACATCTAAATCGTTTTCATTCAACTCAGCAACACTTACTGAGCATCATCTCTGTAACGGGGCACAGGGGAACCAAGCAGCTAGAGCCTTTCTCCTCATGGAGCTCATGGGGAAGCACTGAAACTGGAGCAGACAGTAAACAAAGAGGAAGGACTACAGGGCGTTTGAACAGAACAGCAGCCCCTTGGACAGAGCGGAGGCCAGAAGGAGGATCATTTTCCAGGTTAAGGAGATGCTGAGCTCAGAATTTTACCTCTCCTTTTTGAGTCACTGACTTTACCACTGTCCTTCCTTCCCAAAACAGAGAAGACGATCCTGACTTAAATGAGGACCATTTCCTGCCCCTGATGTCCTTAAGCGCACAGCAAGGCATCCAGCACCTTCAAATGAAACCTCTCTTCAGGACTTTTCCCGTTACTTTCTTTTCTACTTTACAATGTACAGCTACACTGACATACTTGGACAAGTAAACATAGCCAACATGGTCTGCTATGTGCCAGCCAACACTTAAGGGATTTATATATATTGTGAGATAGGTACCATTTCATGAGTGATGGAACTGAGACCTGGAGAGATTATGTGACACTCAGGGTCACACAGCTAGAAAGTGGCCACTAGGATTTGATCCCAGGTAGCGTAGCTTCAGAGTCTGTGCGCCTGAGTGCTATCACATGGCCATGCAAATAAAGTTCAAACGCCCCAGGCCAGGCTGATGCCCAGGGCCTTCCCCCAAAAGAATGTCAAGTGAAGAAACTGCCATTGCTATCAGCTCCTTTTTATTTTTCGTGGAGAGTCATGACCTGTGTGGGCAATGGAGATTGCAGTGGTTGGTTGGCAGGTTGTATGACACTCCCTGGGCTTGAAAGGGGGCTATTTTGATAGCACCCCACTTTTTAGCAGCAGAGCTCTGGAAAGGCAAAAATAGCAATAATTATAGACATGCAAATGCATAATTAGGTTTCCGGCATTAAACAGCGGTAAAAATTTTTACTAGACTCAAAATCATCTACACATAGACAAGAAGATGTCTGTCTGCCACTCTTCCCCCTGTCCTTGTCTCCAGCCCTAGCCTCTGGTCATATCTTTGCCAGGAACATCCTTCACGTCGCTCTGGATCCTCCTGGAAAACTCAGACCTTCCTTTAAGATTTGCCTTGACAGGTCTCTCCTGCCTTCCCTGACCCTCAGGCAGGTGGACTGTCCTTTACAAACCTGCCCCATTTCAGCAGAGGGCACAACTCTGGACTCAGAAATATCTGGATTCGGAGACTAACTGGAAACATCAGGCCTTGGAAGATGGTTTCTCTGTATGCCGTAGGAGCAAGGACAGACCCTCAGGAAGCACTGAATCAAATATTAGCCTTCAGTGGCTAGCAGGGGCCCCCTGGGACACCCTGGTCCAAACATCTCCAGCTTCAGCCACATCCCAGGGGAACAGGCTCTAGCCCCTGGAACCCCAATGCCCTGCAAAGAGGCCACTTCCATCCTGATGCTGCTCACTCTGCCCACTCTACACATTACCAGAGGTTTGGCAGTGGGTGAAACGTGGTCCCTGCCTGCAGGAGCTCAAACTGACATCTCAGACAGATGTGTAAGTAGCAACCGGGATGACAACTTGACAGAGGCGGTTACCTCCACAGGTGCTTTCGAGTTCAAACCCTGGCTCTGCCACCTACTGGTTACATGACCTTGGTCTTAGCCTTTGGGCCTCACTTTGCTCGCCTTTGAAATGAACCATTTCCCTCCTGGGGAGTGAACAGTATTTGACATAAGCCACCTAGCACGGTGCCTGGCACATGGAAATGTTCCCAGAGCTCTGATGTTGTCAGGACTCCCCCAGGACTGACAGCCTTCACATTGTAGATGTTATGGGGTGGCACATCCATTCCAAGAGTTTTCCAGCAGGTAGAGGAAAACATTTTGAGGTAAAAGGCACTGTATAGGCGACCGTGATTATTGATGGTTATCGAAGGATGTGCAGTGTGGTGGGAGCAAAGAGGAGGACAGGAGTGTCTGAAGTGGCTCTCTGGAGGAAGGATGTCCCAGCTGAGAACAGGGACGGGCAAGCATGCTCCAGAGGTGCCAACACCAGATTATGAAAGGCCTTGAATGTCATGCTTAGAAGTTCAGAGTGTTCAGCATGGGATCCTGGAGTAAATGGAATGGCCAGAGATGACCAGCAGGGGAAGCCATGCTGTCCCCAGAGCAGAGGGGGTCACCATCTCTAGCTCATCTGTAGCCCACTCCTGACACAGCGGCACCCGAGGTACAGACACGTGTGACTCCCCGTCATCTACAAGAGCTGGCAGGAGAAAGACCTTTAATAAAGTGCAAGTGCTGCTGGGAGAAGGCACATTAATAAGAGCAATGATGCCAGATAATATTTATTGAGCATTTGCTATGTGTTAGGTGCTTTTCTCTGTGCTTTGCATATTTTAACTTACTTGATTTTTACAACAACCTGGTGAGATAAGTATTATTCTTGTACTTCTTTCAAAGAAGGGAAAACTGAGGTACAAAGAAGGTGAAGAGCCCTGGCCCACCCACCTGGGAGAAGCTGAGCAAGGACAGAAACCAGAGTGCTCGGGCTCCCAAGCCCCCATTTCCACCACTGCAATACATTGTCCCACCTCTCACACACACCCAGCAGCCCCTGCAGGCTCATTATTAAAGAGCCTTCTTAGATAAGCCCCCTGAGAGTGGGCTGAGTGGGAGGAAGGGACAGAGGTAAGAAAGGGCACAGAGAGAGGAAGCTGGTGATCTGCAGCTTCCCAGGAGGTGCTAGTGGAGTGGAAAGGGAACTGGAGGGCAAAAGCTCCTGAGGAGGGGGCTGGCCATCCAGAGGAGGGGATGGAGGGGAAAAGGGATGCGATGCAGGGAGGTGAGCACACAGCCCTTCTCAATCTCATAGACTTGAACCAGCGGGATTGCAGGAATCTGAGGACCCCAGCCAGTCATCCCTCTCCTCCCCAAGAGTTCCCTGGCATGCTCCAGTGGGCAAAGGACAGGGCAGGAACAGCCTCCTCCACCTTCATACCAATCTCATGGGATTTTCACAACACTGGCAAGGCACCAGAGTCAGAGCCCAGTACCCCATTACAAATGGGGACACTGAGTCCCAGAGAGGGGATGTGGCTTCCAGTGGTGGCCTAGGGCTAGGCCGGAGACAGGAGTGAGGACACTCCCATGAACTGGAGCTGCAAGAGGCAAGATTCTGGATCCTTTATTCTAACTGTATCTCCAGCCCAGAGCTCTCTTCCTGGTGTTCCCCAGGCTCATCAAATGTGCTGTGTTCAGCCCAGCCGGTGTGGATTGAGTGTGCTCCCATGGACTGAAAGGTCCCGGTTTGATTCCTGGTCAGGGCACATGCCCAGGTTGCAGGCTCCATCCCCAGTAGGGGGCATGCAGGAGGCAAATGATTGATGTTTCTCTCTCACATTGATGTTTCCCTCTCTCCCTTCCTCTCTCTCTAAAAAAGAAAACCAATTAAAAAAATAAAAAGTACTGTGTTCAAGACCAAACACCTCATCTTCTGTCCAAACCAGCTCCTCCAGTGCTCTCAGTTTCAGGGACTGGCACCCCTATTCAAGCAGACACTCGGGCCTCAATTCATGGTGTCTCTTCAATGTCTCCCTCACCCTTTTCCCAGCGCCACCTACCTGACACCATGTCCTGTACATTCTGACTCCTAAATGACTGTCATCTACCACCTCTCTTTCCCCACAACATCTGCCTTAGTCTAAGCCATCAGAGTTTCTCTACTGGTTACATCAACAGCCTCTACCTGACCGACCTGCATCAGGCTCCCCACAGCAAATGCACTCTCCTCTCTGTGTGCAGAATGGCCCTCTTGAAGCCATCTGACCCTATCGCTTCCTTGTTGAAACACTGCCCTCTCTTACCAGGCCCACAGGGCCAGCCTAGCCTGACCCCCAAAAACCTTTCAGTTACATCTCCCATTGTCCCCCAGCCCCCATTGGTTCCAACCACACTGGATTACGCACCATTCTCTTGAAAGCTGAATTTTACCAGCCAGTTGTTGAACACAAATTATATGAAAAATTAAAAGTTGTATTATTCACTTAAATTATCTAAACTTACCATTAAATTGTACTTATTACCATTTAAGGTAATAAATACAATTTCTTACTTTCTAATTAGTTTGCTAGATTTTACTATTATTTTTGCTCTTAAGGGCATCTGTATCTATTGTATGTGTCTGGTGGAAATCCTATACTTACACGCGTCTCATCCAAACAGTGTTCAGTGATCTTACATTGGTGGCGTGAAATCAGCCATGGTGGGAGTCATCATACTACAAGTCAACAAACACTATGAATCAAAGATTGATTTATTGTTTGGTTGTCATCTAGCCCAGTACAATCCAAATGTGGCCAACCACCTGTTTTTGTAAATAAAGTTTACTGAAACACAGCCACACTTCTTCATTTGCTTATTGTTGAGGCATTTTGCACTACATACAGTGCAGAGTTGAGTAGTGCAATGGAGACTGTATGGCCCCCAAAGCCTAAAATATTTACTACTTGACCCTTCATGAGAAAAGCTTGTTACTCATTAACAAAAACAAAAATACCAACCAGCATTCACATCAGAGCTACACAGGGAGTGATGGGTACTAAATACTTACCTGTATATCACTGCCCAAAGGTGCCAGGCACGTTCACACCTGCATTCTTTGCCCACAGTGCTTTTTTTAATTCTGTCCACCTGGAGAATTCCTACCTGTTCTTCAAAACCCAATTCAAATGTCCCTTTTCCCATGCTGCCTGTACCAGTCAGCTATGTGCTATGACAAATACCCCAACACATAATGGCTTTAAAGAACTTATTTTTAAAATATGTTTTGATTTATATTTTTAGAGAGAGAGGAAGGGAGAGAGATATAGAAGCATCGATGTGAGAGAGAAGCATCAATCGGCTGCTTCCTGCACACCCCTTACTGGGGAACTGAGCCCACAACCCGGGCATGTGTCCTGACCGGGAATCGAACCAGGACCTCTCAGTCTATGGCAGTGGTTCTCAATCTTCCTAATGCCGCGATCATTTAATACAGTTCCTCATGTTGTGGTGACCTCCAACTATAAAATTATTTTTGTTGCTACCTCATAACCGTAGTTTTGCTACTGTTATGTCTTAGGCAACCCCTGTGAAAGGGTTGTTCGACCCCCAAAGGGGTCACGACCCACAGGTTGAGAACCACTGGTCTATGGGCTGATGCGCAATCCATTGACACACACCAGCTGGGCTAAAGAACTTACTGTTTTTCACTACATTGTGGGTCATCCTGGTGTCCCATAGTGAGCTTGATTGACCTCACTGCGCTGAACTCACTCATGGTACATGATCAGCTGGCAGGGTGACTGGGGCCTGGCTAGTCTAAGACCGTCTCAGCGAGATGACTCAGCTGAGCTCCACACGGTCTCTCTTATCTTTAGCAGATGAACCTGGGTTTGTTCTCATTGGCCAAGTGTGGGTTCAAGAGAGTGAGAGAAAACAGGCAATTTTTCTCGAGTCTTTTTTTTTCTTTTTCATTTATCTTCAGATAGAGCTGGAGGGAGACGGGAGGAAGAGAGAGAGAAACATCTATGTGATAGAGACACATCAACTGGCTGCCACCCACATGACCCCATCCAGGGCCGGGTACAAACTGCAACCGAGGTACGACGTGCCCTTAGCAGGAACCGAACCCGAGCCTCTGGTCTGCAGGCTGACACTCTAACCGCTGAGCCAAACCAGCCAGGGCTTTCTCAAGTCTTTTAAGAGACACTGCATCACTTCTGCCACTTTGATTGGCCAAAGCAAGTCACAGCCAGTCTAGATTTGAAAAGTGGGACATAGGTACTGCAAAGTCATGTTTCAAGGGGCATTCTGGATAAAAGGCTGGGCAGAATTTGGGCTGTTTATATATTCACTCTTTCACTACCTTCCCCTTTCCTCAAGCAATGAAGCAGCTCCTGACTCAGTGTTCAAACAGCACTGCTGAGAAGCAAAACCAAACCTGTCATAAGCACTTTGTTAAAATAAGGAATCTACCAGAAACATTGATTTATTTGTCTTTGTGCAGAAGGGCACGAAAGACATGGATGGAGCTCTCAAGTTCTTCTAACAAAGAAAACTGGCAGTTTGTATGTCTTTTAAAGTTACTGTATCAGCCAGGATTTGGTCAGAGAAACAAAGTTATTGGGAGTGATTATATATGGTAAAGATGTATTATAGGAAAAAGACCCTAAAAAATTGCAAGAACTAATTATATGAGACTGTTGTCTTTTTAGCTGGTGCTGGAGCTAAAGCAGCGGGCGAACAGTTGGGATGGATGTGGGGTGAGGGAAGCAAGAATATGCTTGTACCTGTGAAGATGAGCTAGAACCCACAGGATGGACCAGAAGTCACATCTGTCTCTTGCTGCATCTGAGACTCCAACTTTGATGATGCACATGACCTACAGGAGAAGCTGGCACATCCTCAGGGAGCTACACATACACCTGGAACAGGACTGACAGAAATTGGAGGATCTAGCAAAGAGGAGCTGTGGACCCAGCTGCTGTCACACGCCAACAAGGTGAGCTAGCAAGTGAGGGTCATTGTGAATGAGCTGCAACTGCTTCTGGCCCTACACCAACCTTCTAGTGCAAAAATGATACAACTTCTGTTTCACTTCTCTCCAAATCTTGCACAAAATGTCACCTGTGGCCCTCACTAAGTCAGGACTGCAGGGAAGAGAATTCAGGTAAACAGGTCCAGCTTAGCTAAAATGACACTCTACAAATTCACTGCAGCTTCAGATGCTAATTTGAATATTATACCCATGAAGACCAATTAGCATCAAAGGCTTTTTTTTTTTTTTTAAATCCTCACCAGAGGATATTTTTCCATTGATCTTCAGATAGAGATGGGGAGGGGGGGGAGACATTGATGTGAGAGAGACACATTGATTGGTTGCCTCCCACATGACCCCGACCAGGACTGGGGATTGAGCCTGAAACCAAAGTACATGCCCTTGACTGCTAAACTGAGACTCTTCAGTTGGCTGGCTGATGCTCTAACAGGTGAGCCAAACCAGCCAGGGCTAGATTTGATATCTTTATTGGAGAAAATCAATATAAATCCAGCAACTGGTGTGTGGCTATTGAACTAGTGCTTTCTCTTACATTCCCATGAGTATGGTAAGTTATACTCAGTTTGCATAGTAGAGATAACAGCATACCTTCACTGTCTTGCCCCTGGGTTTTGCCATTCTCCTGCAAACTGAGGGACTATGATAGTCTTGACAACAGAGAACACTATGTTGATACATTCAGTTGATGCCATTATGCTAAGTGGACTCTGAGCAGGAAACAGCAAGCATCCTAGGTGCCTTGGACATAGGTGTGCCAGAGTCAGAGGTGAACCCTGTGAAGTTCAAGGGCCTGCCACATCAGGAAAGTTTCTAGAGGACCAGAGGTCTGGGGGATGTCAGATATCTTCTGTGAGATACAAGATGCTGTCCCCTACACCATACACCATAAAGAAAGAGGAGTGATGTATGGTATGTCTTTGGGATTTTGGAGCCAACACGTATCACCTTTGGACAAAGTGCTTTGACTCATTTACTAGGTAACCTATAAATCTGACAATGTTAGGTCTGGATATAAAAAGAAAAAGCTCTTCAAAAGTTCAGGCCATGATACAAGTGGCTCTACCACTTTGGCATTACGCCTGGTAGATCCACGTGCCTGACTTAGGTGTCTGCCAAAGATGCCTTGTGGTGCCTCTGGCAAGTCCCAGTAGGAGTATCATAGCTATGCCCCTTAGAGTTTTGGCTATGCTAGCCTCTGCCAACTCTAAAAAGCAGCTTCTGGCTTGTTACTGGACCTTGGTAAAGACTGAATGCCTGACTTATGAAACACCAAGTAAGTATCAGACCCACATGTTCTTCATGAACTGAGTGTTATCTGAGCCACAGAATCATGAAATTGTATTTGTACAGTTGCAGCTCACTAGAAACTGGAGTGGTGTATATGACGCCGGGTCCGAGCAGAGCCCAAAAGCACAAATGAACCGCCCAACTCCCAAGCAGGTGCTTGGGAGTCCCATCGCATTTGTTTCTATGGCTTCACCTCCTCTCTCTTAGTTTCCGCTCAACAGCTTCAAGGGGAAGAGGAAAAAGGACAGGTCTGATTTATGGGAGGCTTTGCCAGCAGGATCGGACGTCTGCTGCATACAGCCCCATTCCAAGGGGGCCCTGAAAGATGCTGGTGAAGGAAAATCCTCCCAGTAGGCAGCACATTGGGCAGTGCATGTGTTATCCACTTGGTGTGGAAGGAAAGAAGGCCTGTGGTGCAGAATGGTATGAACTCAGGAGCAACATCTGATGGGCTGGCTACTTGCAGAGACTTGGAAAGAACATAACTGGGAACTTGGTGACATGATGGTCTAGGAGAGAGGTCTGTGGGTGGCTTCTTTTTTTTTTTTTTAATCCTCACCCGAGAACATTTTTGCATTTATCTTTAGATAGAGCAGGAGGGAGAGAGGGAGGAAGACAGAGAAACATCAACACGAGAGAGACACATCGACTGGTTGCCACCCACACGACCCCAACCAGGGCCGGGGACAGACTGCAACCAGGGTTCGTGCCCTTAATGGGAACCGAACCTGGGTCTCTCTGGCCTGCGGGCCAAAGCTCTAACCGGCCAGGGCTGTGGATGGCTTCTTCAAGTGCTCACAGAATAGGAAGCTATTCATGTCTCATGTAAACGCCCATCAGGAGGCAATCAGCGGAGGAGTCCTCACTAGATAAGACGACCCATCCTACAGATTCGGTCAGCCTCTTTCTCCAAGCACATTGGTGCTTTATCAATGGACCCATGGGAAGGGCAAAGCCACTAGATTTGTGTGTGTGATAAGAGATTATTGTGCTCTTTGTCCAGCTTTGCCATTGACCTAATGGGTCACTTTGGACCATTCCCTTCCCTTTACTTGACCTTGGTTTCCTAATTTTACAATAAAGGAGTCAGACACAATGATCCTTGATTCTGAGCTGTATAGCCAGTAGGAGGCATTTGAGAATGAGGGCCAGCTGGTGACATCATAGAGGGGAGAATTCTGTGAGAAGAATCAGGCTTTCCTGGAAGCCCCATTGCCAGAGCTAAGGTGAGAAGGGCAATCCAGGTAGGGGCCTGCTGGGCCTATGTCTCGAGTCTTCTTGTTCCAGGGTTCCCAGCATAGTCATGGATCAACCTTCGGTGGCCAGAAAGGCTCAAAATGAGGCAGACACCAGTGACTTGGATGTGTTCTCTTACCCCAGCTTATCAACCCCACAAAGGCCAGGTCGTAGTGGAGTCCACGGCCATCAGAAGTCCCATCATCGTGATGGATCTCATCACCATGATGAGTTCCAAGACTTCCCTGACAATGTCTCCTCCCACCACCGCCACACCCCCCATCATGGTGGAGCCCACCGCTCCATATCCCTTGCCCTGGATGCTTCCCGTGGCACTGTCCTCTCCCACCATTACAATGATGAGGACTTCTTTAATGATGAGGACTTATTTTATGATGAGAACCACCGTGACAGCAGGAGACATCATGGTAGGCCCCACCACCAGAGTGAGTCGTACCACCATAGGGGGTCCCACCACCACGGTGAGTCTCACCACCCTAGTAAAGTTTTCCACCATAGTGGGCTCCATAATGAGTCCGACTATGACAGTGAGGCCAGTGAGCATAGTGCGCCCCACCACTATGAAGCCTATGACCGTAGCAGGCACCATCATTATCAAGCCCCCGACCACAGCACACCCAGCGAGCACCACCACGGCGCACGTCATCTTCATTACTCCCACAGTGATCGTCACTATGGGGAGAACCGTCACGGCAGCTCCCAAGTCTTTGGCCCACACAGTCCCCGCAGCAAGGCCAGGGTCAGCTCACAACACTCTCGCGCAGCAGCCGTTCAACCTAGTGTGTGCAAAGTGGACGTGGCCGGCAGCTTGACTCGTTCCCGCAGTACAGTTCAGCCACATACCTCCAGGAGCTCCAACAAAGTCCATCCTCAGGTTTCCTCCTCTAAAACCTCAGAAACCTTGGCTAAAGAGGCACGGTTTCAGAAGCACAAAAGTGAGTCTTTGCCTACCCTTCCCCCACCCCCAACTCTCACTGCCTGGCCCAGATTGTAGATCTAACTCAGGCCCTGCACCAACCCTGCACAGATCATGAGGCTGGACTCTCACCTGCAGGCACTTTTCATTGGCTACTCACTCACCTGACTGCTCATCATCTGCTCGTTCCTTTCCAGAATTGGGCACCCCTTCAGGCCATCAGTTTTTTGTTCGCTCGGTCACTGCTTTATTCATTCGCACATTCAATTTTCAACCATTTCCTCTTATCTAATATGGGACCTGGATTACTTGGGCCCTGGCAGCACAGGGAAGACCAGCCCCCGAGGGCTCTAAGGCTAGGGGTGGTCACTTACCCAGCCAACCCCAGACTGTCCCATGATGGAGGCCTGTCCGCCACGTCAGAACATTTGTGGATTCTATTTGCTCATACCTCCCACACTAGACTGTGAGCTTCCCGAGGCAGAGCCGGGGGAGCAGTGCCTGAATGAGGGCCTTTTTAAAAAATAGGTTTCATTGATTTTTTTGAGAGAGAGGAAGGGAGAGGGAGAGAGAGAGAGAAACATCCATCAGCCGCCTCCTACATAACCCCTACTGGGGATCAAGCCTGCAACCTGGGCATGTGCCCTGACCAGGAATCGAACTGGTGACCTCTTGGTCTATGGGTTGGCGCTCAACCACTGAGCCACACTGGCTGGGTGAGGGCATTGCTCGAGGGCAGGGAGGGACCTTGGCTTTAATGCACCAATCCCCCAAACTTAACCCCTAGTTGTATAGTAAACATGGCAACAGCCCCATGAACAAGCAGAGAGGGGTAACATCTAATGGATGGGGTAGGAAAAGCAGACAAGAGAAGATGTTTCAGTAGAATCTTAAAGGGAGAGGGAGAGTTTACCAAGAAGGTGGGGTGGTGTGGAGGATCGGGTTTTCCAAACATAGGTTGCCGTGTGAAGAAAGAAAGGCATGGAGATGTAGGAGCATGAGCCCTCGAGGTGTGTTCAAGCAGATCACAAATCCCAAAAAGGCTGGCATCTACCATGGAAGGAGTCAGGCTGGAGGCCCCAGTACCAATACAGAGCTAACATAGAGGCACCTTACCCAGCCTGAGAGGAGGCCTGGGATCCCCAAGCTCCACTCCCACACAGACTTGACTTTCTGACCCCCTTATAGCTGGCAGAGCCCACAAGAAGCAGCACAATGTGGACTTGTGGGAAAAATTAAGCCAACTCTTTCATGGCCTCCGGGAAATGCTCAGGATCCTGACTGAGTCCCTGATCTTTGATGCCTTCATCTTCCTTGTTGTCTGCCTCAACATCATCATGCTTGTGGCCCAGACCTTCACCGAAGTAGAGATCCGGGGTGGTAAGAGCTGGGGATCCTCATTCATGTGGAGAAGGCTATTGATGTTTCAGGGCTCCTGTCGACCTGACCCAGTGCTGAATGATTTATATAACTTAACTTATTTGTTCTTCACCCCTGGGAAGTAGATGACATTACCCGGTATGAGAGATGAGTCTCAGAGTTGATGCTGAGGTCAGCCAGGCAGCCAGAGAAAGGTCCGCTAAACTAGAGGATGTGCTGTTTGAGACTACAGCCACTAGGAGGCGTATCTGCTCTAAATATGCCGCTTTGCTGGGCAGGGTGCCAGGAACTCAGGTGGGCTAGAAGGGCCAGGAGATTCTGAGGACACCCAGGAGGGATGGGAGGGGAAAACCTGAGAAGGCAGCCCCTAAAGCCCTGGGGAGCAGGGTGAAGGAAAGGACTTAAACTAAGGAGAGAAGAAGAGTGGCTGATGTTTCCTGCATAGTCACTAGTTCAGGCTCCATTTTAAGTATTTTACTGCGTTAAGTGTTTTTCATGCTCATGGAAACTATCAGGCAGGCTGTTATTATCACCATTTTGCAGACAAGAAAACTAAGGCACAGAGCAGTTAACACACAGCTATTTGGGCAAAGCCAGGCTCTCCCTAAATGGCCGTGTGAAGGTTCCCAGGGGGAGGAGGCGAGAGCATTCAGGGGATGGCCTGAGCAAGCCCCTGGTGTCTCCGCAGAATGGTACTTCGTGGCCTTTGACTCCATTTTCCTCTGCATCTACGTGGTGGAAGCTATGCTCAAGATCATTACTATGGGCCTCGACTATTTTTATGACTCCTGGAACATTCTGGGTGTGTGGGGATGGGGTCCATGTGCCTGTGCGTGCATGTGTGTGTGTGTGCGTGTGCATGTGTGCCTGTGTGTGTATGCGTGTGTGTGTATGCATATGTGTGTGTGTGTGTGTGTGTGTGTGTATGGTGGGAGCCACTGAACTGCTTAGGGGAGGCTGAAGACAAAAGGGGACGGGGCAGGGGGTGATGGCATTGGGAGGGGTATGGGTCTGGGGCTAGGGACCTGGGCAGGAACCTGTCACACTCAGGTGCCCTGTGCCCTCAGACTTCTTCATCATGGTCATGGCCGTGCTGGAGTTCATGCTCGTGCAGCTCAACTCACGCTCCTTCAAGCGCACCATCTACAACCAAAGTGTCTTCCGGATTTTCAAGATCTTCAAGAGCCTGCGGGCCCTGAGGGCCATTCGGGTCCTGCGGAGGCTCAGGTCAGCTGGGCCACAGCTGCCCACCCTGGTATGGGGACTCTGAAGGAAGAGGGGACACAGGCCTGGACTCCCAAGTAATTGCTGTGAGCTGTTGCAGGGGTGGGGGAGGGGAGGCTGCATAAGCTTCCTGCCAGGTCATTCTCTTCATTTTCCAGAGAAGGGCTGGGACTCTTGTAAGTCAGGGACCTCCTGTGTTCAGCATCAGCTCTGGCTCCTGGGCACAGATCTCCGCAACCCCCACCACCACTAGACTCAGCCTCCCTGTCAACCTCTGTCCACAGCTTCCTGACCAGCCTCCAGGAAGTGACCAGGACCCTAGTTCAGTCCTTGCCATCCATCACCGCCATCCTCATCCTCATGTTTACCTGCCTCTGTATCCTGGCTTGTGGGGTCTGGGGCGGGAGCCTGAGGTCCTGTGGTGAAAGGAGGGGGGGCCCAGGGGCAGGGAACGGGGTGAGATAGGCCCTTTGAGCCTGGTTTGGCCTGAACAGCCAGTCCTCTTCTCCGTGGTGCTCCGGGCGATGTTCCGCCACTCCGACCCCAAGCACTTCCAGAACATCTTCACCACCATCTTCACCCTCTTCACTCTGCTCACGCTGGACGACTGGTCCCTAATCTACCTGGACAGCCGGGCCCAGGGTGGGAAAAGCCCCAGGCTGGTGGCAGGATGGAGGTTGGCTGGGGGGGAGACCCTGAGGGCTGGTGACCCCATCTCCATTGTGGGTTCTGATGCTTGCTGGCAGCAGTGTGGTGAGGGCCGGCAAGGAGCTCACGGCTCCCACTACCCTGTCTCTCCCAGGCGCCTGGTACATCATCCCCATTCTCATGATTTACATCATCATCCAGTACTTCATCTTCCTCAAGTGAGGATGCTGCCCCAGCTCTGCTCCCAGCTTCACTCCCTTCTCCCATCCAAACCTGGGGCAACCCCTTCCCAGCCCTCGCACCCTGGCCTTGCTATGATGAACCCAGAGAAGGGTGCCGGCCTCTCCGACAGCCTCCTCCTTGAGAATACCCCACTGTCCCCCCACCTCCAGCCTGGTGATTGCTGTCCTGGTGGATAACTTCCAGATGGCCCTGCTCAAAGGCCTGGAGAAAGTGAAGCAGGAGGTACAGAGGCGGGTGGGGCAGGTGGACGGACCCGGAAACACAAGGAGGGAGCACAGAGGCTGGATGGAAGGGAGGAGGCTGCTCCAGGGACAGGCAGGCATGGGGCTGACAGGACTGAGGCCTCTTCTTCCCAGAGGGCCACCCAGATCCATGAGAGGCTGCTGGCTGAATCGCTGACGGATCTCTGCAAAACAGGTATTGGCCCTCCTTCCACACCCAGGATTCCTGGCTCAGTGTTAAAGTTTTAGAGTCTGAGACTCAGCAGAACCTTCAAAGCTTAGCACTTTGGTCCAAATAGCACAGAGACAATCCTCCAAAAGTCAATGAAACTTAGAGTCAATTCTTGAAAGACCAGTTGGCAAAATGACTAATTAGCCAAATTATGATTTACCAAACACTCATTTCTGCTAATAACTTAAGTTTATAGCAGTGGTTTTACATGCGATAGTTTCAGCTGTCTGAGGGTTTTGTCAAGATCGGGCCCTGGCCGGTTTGGCTCAGCGGTTAGAGCGTCAGCCTGCGGTCCTGAGAGACCCGGGTTCGGTTCCCGCTAAGGGCACGTACCTCGGTTGCAGTTTGTCCCCAGCCCTGGTTGGTCGTGTGGGTGGCAGCCACTCGATGTGTCCCTTTCACGTCGAGGTTTCTCTCTCTCTCTCTCTCTCTCCCTCCCACACTCTATCTGAACAAAAAATAGAAAGAATGTCCTCGGGTGAGGATAAAAAAAAAAATCGGATACATACTTGTCCAGAGTCATTCAAAGTGGATCGAGAGTCTACAAAAATGAAGTTTTCTGTATATATTCATACTTACACATAAGTCTTTCTGGATGAATTGATTTTGAGCCAATTGATTTGGCTTAAAGATCTTCAGAACTTTAGAATCTGAGCTCCAGACTCCCACTCTTAGGATCATTAACACCAGAGGAATAAGGGACCTGAGGGTCAGCTGGTCCTTCACCTGCCCATTCCACCAGAAACAGACAGTCAGTGCAAAAGAGTTTAAGCAGCCCAGCCGGTGTGGCTCAGTGGTTGAGCGTCAATCTATGCACCAAGAGGGTGCTGGTTCGATTCCCTGTCAGGTCACATGCCCAGGTTGTGGACCAAATCCCCAGTGGGGGGCATGTAGGAGGCGGCCAATCGATGTTCTCTCTCATCAATGTTTCTATTTCTCTCTCCCTCTCCCTTCCTCTCTCTCTCAAATCAATAAAGGAAAAAAATCTTTTAAAGAGCTTAAGCAAAAAGAAAAATGAATTGGCTCAAATTACTTAGCAGACTGAAAGTTCGTGGGCTTTCAGGAATGGCTGGATCCAGGACTTGAATGACGATCAGAATTTGGTCTCCTTTCACCTCTCTGATCTGTAGCCCGCCGCATGGTTTTGTGCTTAGGGCAGCTCCTTTCTTGTGGTGGGAAAATGACCAGCTACAACTCCAATCTCAAATCCTCACAGTTTAGCCCTTTCTAGCACTCTCAGCGGAGAGGTCCTCTTCAACCGGAAGTTCCAACAAAGTCCAGAAATGAGTCTCTTTTGCTCCAGTTGATCACCTGCCTATCTCTGAACCAATCACTATAGTTAAAAGGATAAGCTGTTCTGTCGAGCCGGTGTGGCTCAGTGGTTGAGCGTTGACTCATGCACCAAGAGGTCGCCGGTTCGATTCCTGGTCAGGGCACATGCCCAGGTTGTGGGCCTGATCCCCAGTGAGGGGCATGCAGGAGGTGGGCAGTCGATGTTCTCTGTCATCGATGTTTCTATCTCTCTCTCCCTCTTCCTTCCTCTCTCTCTAAAATCAATGAAGAAAAAAAAAAAATTAAAAAAAAAAAAAAAGGATAGGCTGTTCTGACTGGCCAACCCTGAGCCGAACATACAAAGCTGCTATACGCTCCATGCCTGGAGAAGCGATCTCTTTGAGGGCGTCCTGGGCAAAACGTGCTAGCCCCTGTTTAAATAGCTCCATGGCACATGGGATGCCCTGGCCGGTTTGGCTCAGGGGTTAGAGCATCGGCCTGCGGTCCAGAGAGACCCAGGTTCGGTTCCCGCTAAGGGCATGTACCTCGGTTGCAGTTTGTCCCGGCAGCCACTCGACGTGTTCCTTTCACGTCGATGTTTCTCTCTCTCTCTCTGTTCCTCTCTCTCCCTCCCACTCTACCTGAACAAAAAATGGAAAAATGTCCTCGGGTGAGGATAAAAAATAATAATAATAATAAAAAAAAAAAAGCCCTGGCCGGTTTGGCTCAGCGGTTAGAGCGTCGGCCTGCGGTCCGGAGAGACCCGGGTTCGGTTCCCGCTAAGGGCACGTACTTCGGTTGCAGTTTGTCCCCGGCCCTGGTTGGTCGTGTGGGTGGCAGCCACTCGATGTGTCCCTTCATGTCGATGTTTCTCTCTCTCTCTCTCTTCCTCTCTCTCCCTCCCACTCTATCTGTACAAAAATAAATAAATAAATAAATAAATAAATAAATAGCTCCATGGCACATGGGATTCTCCTCCTCCCGCTCAATCCAGGCTTCTCCTTGACCTCTCCCTTCTTTCTCTATACCCAGAGCCTGAAGAGGTGATGAGTGAACATTCTAAACAGAAACACCTCATCGAGAAAAAATTTGGGACCATGACTGAGAAGTAAGGAGATCCAAAAGGAGCGGGGAGGCCTCGGGTCTCGGGAGGGTTCTGGGGCCTGACAGCTGGGCTGGTGGGAAAAGGGACACTGCGCACCTCTGTGGAAGGGAGTGGAGTACCAAGGCCTGCGGGCCAGACGTGGAGAACAGGAATAGCTTCTGCTCACCAAGAGTTATTTTGTGCCACCAAGAGAATCCCACCAGCAGCAGCTATAGGACCATGAGAGCCCTTCGGAGGCCAAGGGCCAAGGGCAGAGGCAGCAGTGATTCTGTTCATCTTCTTCCTGAAAAAGCATCCTGACCCTTGCTCTGGGTCAGGCCTGTGAGGTCTCCAGGGACACAAAGAGGACACAGTCTAGCACCTGTCCATGAGGGCTCCACCTCTAAAGAGTTGTGCACGGTCATGGAGGGTGGGTGGACTTTAGCTCAGTGGAGGGATGAGGAGGGTGGGTCAGGGAACAGCTTGGGTCAAGGCTGATGGGCAATACCCTATTTCTGTTGACTTGAGTGGTCGTCTAAGCCAGGACAGCTAGGGGCTGAGGGCTGTGCTCGAGGCAGGGGAACATTGGACAGATTACTGCTGCCTAGGTCTCAGGCCTGGCTCAGCCCTCTCTCTGAAAACCAGGCCTCACCCCACCTCATAAGACTGGCTCCAAAACAGGGGACAGACCGCCTGACTTTTGGCTCCCTTCGGGCTCTCCTCACCCACCAACAGAGCCCAAGCCCCAAAGGCCTTCGTGCCCAAGCCTTTGCCAACCTCTCTCATGTCGTCGCAGCCTCTACCACCCCCTCGCGTCCTTGCTTCACTCACATTGTTTCCCAAGCACAGCGCATAGTTCTCCACCTCTGGGCCTTTGCGCACTCTGTTCTCTTCCTGGAATGTTCTCTGGCTGCCGATCCCAGGCTCAAGTGACGAAGAGTTGGGAGAGCTGAGTTCCAGTCATTCTTACTTCACCTCCTGGCCAGCTCCTTGGCCACCAGCCTAGTCTGGGCCCTTGTGCCTCTGCTATACTTTCCTTGGGGGTCTCTTGGCCTCCAAATTCTCCACTAGTCCACCTCCACCAAGAGTGCTCTGTGTTGTTTTCGTTTGTTTACATCATTTTTTCCTGTTTATTTAAAGAGTGGTCTGTGTTAAAAGCAGTATGGGCTGTTTTCCCTCCTCTGATTTTGAAACCCTACAAGGGCTCCTGCCTCCCCGAGGGTAAGGTCCAGGCACCTTGCTTTGACCTTTCCTGGGTGTCTCCACCTCCAATCCACCATACCCCAGAACCCCCTTCCCTGAGGCCTGCCCCAGCCCCCAGTGTATGCCCTGCTGTTCCGGAACAGGGAACCGGGAGGCCTGCCTGGGCCTGCATCTTCTAAACTCAGCTGTGGTACTTCCTCGGGAAGCCCTTCCTCAGTGCCGTGTTCACGCTTACAGCGTAAACACACGTGGTTTGCTTTCTGCCGCAGAATGCGCTTCTCCAGGGCAGGGGCTGTTTCTTGTTCATTTCTGTGTTCTTGGAGCACCTTGCAGTGTAACTGACTCGGTGTCATTTCATAGGCGGGCTGGTAAGACAGGCAGCAGCGAAGGCAGTAACGAATGACTGGTAGGGTGGGGGAATGGGTGGGGGTTGATGTGGGTAGTCAACATTCGCACGGCATGGTGAGGGGGTGGAATGGGGTCCAGGGAAGAGCGGGCAGGAGGAGGAATAGGTGAGTGAGTGAAAGTGTGGGGTGATTGGATGGCTAGACAGATGGGAGGATGGATGGCTAGGCGGTGAGTCGGTGTGGAGAGGTATGGGGTAGCGGGAGCCACAGACAGGTGGTAGACGCATGGAGGGATGGAGGGTTGGGGGGGTACACAATGAATACCCTCTGTGGTACAGGCAGAGTGGGGTGGGGGGCGAGGCCACACGAAGAAAAGGGCCGTGGCTGGAAATGGAGTCTAGGTCATGTGAATGTATGGGGGGTGGGGGGAGGCAAGCAACAAGAGTCATCAGAGGGGCTCTGAGGGCTCAAAGGTGCAACCGCTGATCAGCCAGGGCTCACCTCTGCCCCCTGACCCTCCAGACAGCAGGAGCTCCTGTTCCATTTCCTGCAGCTGTCCGCTGGGGTGGAGCATTATCAACAGAAGTTCCGCTCCCAGGCATCCGTCATTGATGAGATCGTGGACACTGCATTTGAGGTGAACCAGGCAGGACCAGGAAGGCGGGGCCAGGGTGGAGGAGGGACACGGGAAAGCCAGGCAGGAGGGTCGTGCTCAGAAGTGGCCCTGAGCAACAGTACCATGGCGTTGGATGAGGCAGAGCCACCCTCTCATCCCACCCTGCAGGCTGGAGAAGAGGACTTCAGGAAGTGATCCCTGGACAGGGACAGCTGACAGACTTCAGTCTCTGGCAAGCTGCTTAGTGGGGGGTCGGGACAAGTCCCCTGACCTGCTGGAATGATTGTTGAGGCCTGAAGAGCTGGGCCCCAAGAGAGTTTTAAAACCCTAGCAGGCCCTGCCTCCTCACTGACTAGGCCAAGGCACAAGGCAGGAGAACTGGTGTGTGTGCGTGCGTGTGTGCACACCCGAGCGTGTGAGCGTGAGTGTTGCAGGTGAAAGGCACTGCTCGTGGTGCCCTGCAGCCCACCAGGGCTGGGCATTTTAGCTCAGCCCAGCAAGCGCATTGGCAGCAGCCCAAGGGGGACCTGGAAAGCAGACCAGGCTCAGTGTGGAGGGAGGGTGGGCAGTCATTCTGCTTCTGGGAGGAAGGCCCTTCAGGCCCAGGAGTCAGGAGAGAAAGAAGAAGCTGGAATAGCCCTCTGTTCTCAGGATGTGGGGGACCAGCAGGCTCTAGAAACAAGGGCTCGGAGCGCAGGAATTCAGGCCGACCAGCACCTTCAGCATCCGTGATAAGGATATCATGAACCCAAAGGTCCCCAAGTGCCTGGGCCTGTGCTAGGTGCTGGAGACCTAGCACCGAGTCCAGCATAAGCCCAGCCCTGGCCCTGGGGACTCCCATCCAGGGGAGGGGTCTTCCACTGTCTGCAACACCCACCACCTCTAGTAGATAGAAGCCATCATGCAGTACAGGCTGGAGGGTGTCAGGAGTGGAACTCCAGGGTGGGGCCTGAGGAGTCACAGTTTTACTAACCAACCCTGTACCTCTAAGCTGGAAATGATAGTGACAATGTCTCCAGGCCTCAGGACAGAAGCAGCACCTCCCCTCCCTGGCCTGGCCGAGGGCATTGGCTAGCTCAGGGCCCAGGAAGAGGCTGTGCCAAGAAAATGCCATCTGGGATTTGGGCACAGATTCCGGGGATGAAGAGGCCACCTGGCAGATATCTCCAGACCTCGCCTCCCTCCACCACCTCACACATTCATTCACCAAGCATTTTTCCTGCCACCTACCCTGTGCCAGTCCCATGCTGGAAGCTCCTGCTTGGCGGCACATGGAAGCCCTTCCAAGCAGCAGCCCCACCACATGTCCCTGGGTTGTCTGAGCTGCCGCATCTGACAGGCTTGAGCAGAAGCAGGACTGGAAGTTTCTCCTGCATCCCTAACTCCTGTCAAACCCAGCCTTCAGCTCCTCAGTCTTCCCTGTGGAAGTCGCGGCTACTTTTCACCTCCGTCTCTAACTCTAAGGCACAGGGCAGGGCCTGGGAGCTGAGCCTGTTCCTCATCAGGTCCCAGCATTGGACAGGGGACCCGGCAGGCACAGCAGGGTATGAGGCCCTGCTTGGAGGGACGCTCTCCACAGCCACCGCCTTTTGCCTGCCTGGGCCGATGGTGCCCACACCTAGTGCTCCCAAGGGATCCAGTCACTGCCCATCCTGTCCCGGAGTGGGTGGTTGGACAACTCTGGGTGGAGCATGTGGGTCTCTGGGATTGTGTGGGGATCCATGTATACATCTCCAGGTTGTTTCTAGGCGGGGGTGCTTCTGTGTGTTGTGTCTGTGCTTCTGGGTTGCTAGGTTGTGTTTGTGTTTTTCTGGATGTTTGTGGTGTCTGGGAACATCCGTGTGTGTGTGTGTGTTTTGGGTTTCTCTGTATGTGTGTGTCTGGTGTGTTAAGGAGTTCTGGGTGTGTGTGTGTATGTGTGTGTGGCGAGTATGAATTGCAGCTGCAAATTCAGGTGTGCAAAAAATATCATAACTGTTTTCTTTAAATCATACCTAACCCTCGTCTCTCCTGTTGGCAGCATATTTGACCTCAGCCCCTTCGAGCTCCTTGTCCAGTCCCTTCCTGGGATCCTGCCCAGGGCAAAGTCTGGGACTCCCTCTGGCACGTGGCCCACAATGTGTACTTGAGAGTCACTGTCCCAGCCCTCCTGTTCTCTTGGTCTGCATCTCTGGGCCACATGTGGGTAAAGAAATCTCACAGGCTGGAAGCTCAGAGTCCTGGGGCCCTGCTGACACCCCCTCCTAATGCCACCCTGAGTTGTCCTGGGGGCAGAGGAGGAGGAGCGCTCAGGTGCTCCTCAGAGTATTCACTGACTCCTACCCTTTCTTCTCGGGCGCCCCATCCTCTCTGTGACTTTGTCTCTCACCTCTGAACTCTAAGGATATTGAGAATCTGGAGATTTGTTCCTCTACATCTGTGATACTGGGATGTTTGGAGGACCCTAGATTTGGGGCTGAGCCCTGTACCCCTCAGCACTGAATGGGCTGGTTCAGCAGCTCAGCTGGGGAGGAAGGGGCACGAGCTGCCAGGAATGGGAGTGGAGGATGGGAGAGAGGGAGGAGTGAAGCACTCAGAAGAGACACATGCAAGAAGCAGTGTTAGCAATTTATTGCAACAATATGGCACCTGAAGTGCCCTCCACTGATGGGCCTGTGCCCTCCCACTCCCATGGCCGCAGGGTGCACTGCAGGTCTTCTACGCGGGCACGCAGTGGTGCTTTAGGAGGCTGGAGGAGTTCTCCCAGGGAATCACTAGGATCTCAAAGTCGCAGCGCAGCTTCTGCAGACAAATCATGGGGAAAGAAGGAGGGTGAACCCGGGCCCAGGCCTGCCTCGTCCCAACAGTCAAGCACTGGCCCACAATGAGGGGCAACCACTGGCCCAAGGGACAAGTCAGATGGCCAAGACTATATCCCAGATCTTTCTAGTCAACTCTCTCACTCCAGGGGGAAGCCCATCTCCTCTCTGCACCCCACCCTGACCTGGTGCTGACTCATACGGAAGGCAGGGACAGGTTCAGAGTTTCCTCAGACTGGCCAGCCCGACCAGTTCAAGCTGGGCAACCTGAGGGCCTCGGGTGCTGGGGGACGGGGTGGGGTATGTGTGCGTGCGGGCTGTTACCTCCTCCTCCGTTCCCGCTGCCAGGGGGCAGGTGGTGAGGTCTATGCGGTCTCCAGTCACTGCACTCTTCCGACAGGCTGTGCTCCCCATCTCCACAGTCAGGAAGTACTTGACGCCAGCCACCAGCTGGGACGAAGGGCAGGAGCAGGTCGGGTGCTGGGACAATACCCCTGACCCAGACCTCACCTGTCTTCACAGCCTCCCATCCCCCCTCCCCCTCCCCTGGACACCAGCACAGTGGTCTTGGGATTCAAACCTGGGACAGGAGCACTCTGGTGGGGATCCCTGGGGGGAGAGGCAGAGTTCTGGGCCAGGCAGGAGGTTGACCCAAGTGCACCCACCAACCTGAAGCCCACTGCCTCATCTCCCTTCCCTTCCATCCTTCCCTCCCCAATTAACTGGGCAGGGCAAAGATTAGTGAGGTAGCTGTGCAAGGTCAGGGTTGGATCCTGTCTATTTGAAATTTAGATGTTTACTTCGTTGTGAATTTTTGCATTAATTCGATTTTAAAACATATATGGTGTTAAAATACCCTGATGACTCTTGTGACTCCCCCTTAATCTGGCGCCCGGCGGCATGCCTCCCTCCCCTGTGTCCCGCCAGCCCAGACGCACCTGGCTCTGCGCCTTGAGGATGCGCGTGTCCCTGAAGTAGTAGAGGCTGTTGCTGCCCATGTTGTAGCTGGCCACGGCCGCCTGCGCCGCCTTCATCACCTGTGGATCGCTGGGCTGCAGGTCCTTCCGTCCTCCCAACAGGACTTCCCTCGGCTGGGCCCGGGCGTCGCAGGGCAGCGCCAGGAGACAGAACGCGAGCAGGGCCAGGCCCAGCGCCAGCGAGAGGTTGAGACGTGCCATGGTGGATAGCCGTCGATGCCTGGCCCCGGTGGCCAGCGCCCGCTTTTACGGGCTTCTCCGGGCTCCGCGGCCCCGCCCGACACCCTCGGCCCCGCCCCTCGGCCGCTTTGCGCCCGGCCTGCTCGGGGAGGAAACACTGACGTCAGCAGTCTGGCCAGGCCCCCTTCCCAGAACCAATGGGAGCAGCAGCCAGGCCCCAGCACACCTGTGTACCAAGATGCTGGAAGCCCTACCCTGCAGGACACACCCAGTCTTCTGAGGAAAAGGGCAGTGGCAGTCCCCAGCAATAAGTGCCACCATCAGGACAGTTCACTGGAGGCCCATCCAGTATGAAATACCAACAGCAGCTATGGGCAAGCTCTTACCATCACCACCATTTACTAACTCTAACCTTGGAGAAGGTAACCTCTCGGTTCACTGCCTCAGTTTTCTGCCCTGTGAAATGAGGTGCTGTGAGGATTCCATAGGTAAAGTGCTTAGAGGAGGCCTGGTACTGTGTTAACGGCAGGTAAGTAGGGACACTGCTGTGCTGAGCTGGGCGCTGTGTAGCCCTCATAGCCAGCACGAAGTGGGAATCTACATTCCCACAGTACAGAGGAGGAAGCAGGCACAGGGGACAACTGATCTGCCCAGGGTCCGCAGCTGGTAAACGGTACATGGCGACGCTGGTTTTTGTGCCCAAGCAGTCTCACTCAGGTCTCTGCTCTTAAACCAGACTGAGACCAAAGGATGAGAATAGGCCAGGAGGGGTGTGTGTCATACCAGCTCTGCCACTTACTAATTGGGTGACTTCTGACAAGTCCTCGAGCTCCCCAGAGCTTCAGTGTCATCTGAAGAAAGGGGACAACTATTATCTTCTAAGGTTATACTATTAATGACCAGAGACTGAGTCACCCATAGGGAACCCTGTGCACATGCTGGAGGTACCAACAAAATAGGGTACTATAACTTGGGGGAATAATCTGATAACATAAAAAATAGCACTGAAGTAAACATGGGAGTCTGGATGTTGTTGGGATTCTTTCTCTGCATTATAGCAATCAGTACAGTCCGTACTTTTAAGCATGCTGCGGAGGGGGGGGGGGGCAGGCTTTTTGCCTTTAGGACACTAAAATCTGGTCAGTGCTTAGGGTCAAGGATCTTAATTGGGACTTGGAAGAGGTAGTTTATAGTATGTGACAAACAGCTGGTGCTTAATAAGTGGTAATTATTATAGTTGACCCTTGAATGACACAAGTTCAAACTGCATGAGTCTACTTATACATGACTTTTTTCTACTTATACAATGTTCTCTTAAAATTTTCTTAATACCTTTTCTCAAGCTCACTTTAGTGTAAGAATACAGTATATAATACATAGAACATACAAAATATGTGTTAATGGACAGTTTGTGTTATTGGCTTCTGGTCAATAGTGACATATTAGTTTGGGAGAGTCAAAGTTATGGGTGGATTTTCTACTGGGGGTAGTCGTCACTGTTTCTAACCCTGCATTGTCCAAGGATCAGCTGTACTGTGATGATGAGTAAAGCATCCAGCATTTCACAGGACCAGAGTGTGGTCACTGCCCAGTCCAGCTGCTACTCCACCCTCTCAGCCCAGGTGTGAAAACAATCTTGGGATTCCAAGGAACTGTCACAAGTTTGTTGCAGGCTCGGGCATCTGCCTTAAAGGGACAGACTCCAGTTTGTGGGAGAGCTGACTAGTTTGATGAAGAGGGCAAGGCCACGAAGGAACCTGACCCGAGAGAAGCCAGGAGGGGGGACAGTAAAAGGCCCAGGACAGCAACAGGGAGAGGAAAGGCAGCCCCAAGGGGCCAGCAGCCTCCCTGGGCTCTCCCAGGTCTGCTCTCCTGTCACCTGGAGTTCAGCCATGACCACACTTTCCCCCACAACTCCCTGGAAAGTTAGCCAAGGCCCAGTCCCCAGTTCAGCTGCCCTTACCTTTCCTGTCATTTCTCTGTGTGATGCTGATGAGTCTTTTGCACCTTAACCTAACAATTACCAGACCTTTCACGCACTGTTCTATTCTCACAGCACCACAAAGTAGTAAGCATCATCCTTATTTTGCAGATGAAGAAAGTTAATCAGAGAGGTCAGGACACTTGTCTCAGGTCATATAGCTGACAGTGATTTGGTGAAAAAAGAGCAATGGGGGTAGAGAAACGAGTAGTTCCTGCGCTCTTGCTATGTACCAGGGACTCAGCATGTGTTTTCTCATCCTAACAGCTCTGCAGAGGCAGTATTTCCTCCTTTTACAAGAAATGGGGGAGGGGTGAGAGGGGAAGGGCCAGTGGGGGTGGGGTCTGGGGTAGCACCATGTGCCAGTGTCCTAGTGTGGGCAGGGGAGTACCTCTGCAGGTGGGGTAACTGGGAGGATTTTCCAGGGCTGGGTCTCATCTGGAGAAGAGCCCTTAGCCTGGATTCCACCTTGTCTGGACCACTCTGCTTCCAGAAGGCCTGAACCAGGTGAGCTCGGGGTGGGCCATCCCCACTGGCCACAGGGCACAGCCTCGTTTTGCTGTGGCCCAGACATCCCAACCCAGTTGTCCGTGGCACCACACTCTAGCCCCTGGCCAATGGATCTCACTGACCAGGGTGGGCCCTTGCCATTCCCTTTACCCTGAGATAAGGCCTTCATGCTGCCCACCAAGCCAAATCCTCTTCATTGAACTTTTAACCTTTGTTCTCTTCCCCAGGGTTCTGTTCCCCTTTCCCTGTCTGACCACACCCTGGAAAAGAGACCTTGTGGCAAGGAAAGGGGTGAGCAAGAGCTGAAAACTCCCCTGGGGGAGGTACTCTCCTAAGTGCAGGGGCTTTCTAGTCAGCGGCCGGTGAACCTTCACCAAGCTGCACAGCTGAGACTGAGGCTCAGAGCAAGGAGGCTTGCTTCCCGTTCCAGAGAAGAGAGGAGGAACTGAGACCAGAACTGGGCCTAGCTGGCTCTCTCAGGGTACCACCAGTCAAGGTCTGGACTGACAGTAGAGCCTGGGTCCCTGCAGGAGAGGGGCAATGTGGAAGGGGGTTGACAGTCATAAACACGTACTGTGAGCCTTTCATACTATTTGAGCTACCACCAGGGCAGATGTCTTGGGCTTGGGTTCATCCTATAGCCTCCCCCTTCCTTTCTGGAAGCAGGATTCCTTCAGGACCCCAGAGTGCATGGGTTGGGTTCACCCCAAGCTCTGGGCCTGATCTGAGCACTCATGACTAGACTGGCTGCCTAGAGGGTCAAGCTCTGACAGTGGGACAATGACACTGCATCAGTACCTGCTGACTTCCAGGCCTACCCATGCCCTCCAACAAAGCACCCGTGTTGGGCATTGGGCAATGTGGGCTGACATTTAGATAACCTGATTTCTACCCATCCCCACCTAGGTCTGTTATCTCTTAACATCCCAGGCCTGGGGCCCTTTGTCACTGAGTTGGGGCTGGATCTCTGAAAGGACACATTGTCACAACAGCCATTCTAGATGCCCTCTGTCCTGCTGCTCCAGGATTGATCCAGGAAGGTGTGGGATGTACTAAAAGGCCAGATAGTCTGGGGCCTTTCCAACCTGTGGCAGGTACGGCCAAGTCTCGAGGGAGGCGAGAAAGCGGCTCCACAGCTCCAGCCCCTTGGAGACAAAGCCTGTGGGCGGAGGGAAGAGCCCAGGGCTAGGAAGCAGAAGCAGAGCAGGCAGCACATCAGTCTGCTGGGGCCCCAGTGCTAGAGCCATGGGCGGCAAAAGTCATGAAGAGCCAGTCTTAGTTACCTCTGAGTGCCAAAAACAATCTGGCAGTCAGGGCCGAGCTGTGATCCTGCTGAGCACCTCTCCGAAAAGCACACCAGGCCTGTGTGGCATCACAGCACAAGGGTCAAGTGACCCTGAACCCACCCAGGAAAACATCAGAAACACAGTATGGCCAGAAACTCCTGGGACAGTCTATATGACCTCAGCCTGGGCTTTAGACTGGCACCTTCAAGAAGTGGCCTGTAACACAAGCTGGGCACTGCTCTGGCCATGTGGGTATCCTTCCAATGAGCCACTCACACTTCCCAGACCCAGCCTTGCACTGAATCCTCACCCCTAATAACCATCAGTTCCCAACTACTCGCATAGTTGCTGTACCCCCAGGTCTTTGTTTCCCTTTCACCTTTCTACTATTCTGAAGTGCAACTAACATTCAGAAAAGTACACAGAACATACTGTTCACTTTAACAAATAATTAGTCAGTGCCTGTGTTATCACCACTCAGGTCAAGATATGGAAACGGCCACTCCCACCCCCAGGCTGTCCCACTCACCACACCCACCCCCTTCCCGGAAAGGCAACCACTGTGCACTTTTGCAGTAAGCCTTTTTCTAGTTTTACCTATGTAGAGATTCCCAAGCAAGAACTGACAGCTTTTACAGGACAGAATCACATTGCTTGATGTTTCTTCTGATTGCTTGGTATTGAGATTCTACCCTTGTACTGTAAGTTCCTATTCGCAGGTGTTGACAGCCATTGGCTGTTGCAGTTGGGGGCTGTCACAAGCTGCAGTGAAGGCCCACATAGGTGCCCGAGCAGGTAGACGAGCAAGTCCTCAGCCACGGCCCCAGGAACATAGAGTTCCTGGGTCACAGGGTGGGTCTTCAATTTTACTAGAAAACACCCAGCTGTACTGCCCGGTGTTCACACCACTCCACATCACCACCAGCTAGATACCCGTTCCTGTGGTTCCATTCCCTCATCAGCTCTCCGTACAGTCTGACAAAAATTTTTGCTAATCCAGTGATTAGCAAAACAGCACCACTTGCATTTCTGATTTTGGGTGTAATTAAACACCTTTTCCCAGGCTTATTCATCATTTGAGTATCCCTCTCAGAGCAGCCTTTCAAGTCTTTTACCCAGTTTTCTACTGTTAGTTGCTTTTTCTTCACTGTTTTGTTCGTGCTCTGGAAACAGCCCTTTGTTGTGTTGCAAATATCCCTTCGCTCTTTTCATGGTATCTTTATTTTTTATCCTCACCCGAGGACATTTTTCCATTTTTTGTACAGATAGAGTGGGAGGGAGAGAGAGAGAAACATCGACGTGAAAGGGACACATCGAGTGGCCGCCACCCGCACGACCAACCAGGGCCGGGGACAAACTGCAACCGAAGTACGTGCCCTTAGTGGGAACCGAACCCAGGTCTCTCCGGACCGCAGGCTGATGCTCCAACCTCTGAGCCAAACCGGCCAGGGCTCATGGTATCTTTAGATAAAGAATTTCTATTAATGAAACTGAATTTATCAATTTTTTTTCTTAAAATTTCCCTACTGAGATCGTATTATCTCAATTTTTAAATTTAGTATCTGCCAGTCTCTCCTGACCAGACTGTAAGCCCTCGTGTGACAGTACAAGGGTAACATCTGGACTCCACCTCGACATCATCTTAGAGGCCTGCTTATGACTCCTTGCTTTCAGTAAAATTCCGTAGTTGAAATTAACCTAACCACATCCTTACAGGAAAGAATGTACGATAACATCCTTTGTTCTCCAGTTGTGCCATTGAGTTATAACTCAGAGTGTTATCTTTACACACTGGGCTTAAAGACTCAAGGCTTTTGTTTTAATATTGCACTTCTTCAACCCAGCTATCACTACACATCACAAGCCTCTGCCACAGGCTAGGATACAGATAGCTTGGTTAGTATCAAGTGCTGTAACATCCCTTAACATCATATTCTGCAAAATAGTTGTTTAGTCAATTAAATAGTAACTAGAACATCTGCATGAACGTTATTTCACAGGCCCTTTAAGTGGCCACTGACCATAGAAAGCATCTCATGACTACCCCTCAGAATCAACCACTGCCAGATGACAATCATGGGACAACTGGCCTCACCCTCATTCTCAAGCCCTACACCCACCCCAAGCCCCCATATACCACCCACAAGAATCCCTTGGGAAGCTCGACTTTTTTCTGGTTGACTCCCTTGTGCACAAGCTCTTTTCAATAAACTCGATCCGCTTGGTCTTGTACTGAGTTCCGTCCTCCTTCCCATGACACTGGCACTCAAGAACCTGACAGTAACACTCAGAAAATCTGTGAGTAGTTCCTCTTGCTCTACTGAGATTGAAAGTCAATAAGGCTGAGTGTTGCACAGCTAGCATTTTATCCGGTCATTACAACTGCACTTCCAAGTGGGGAAACTGAGGCTGAGTGACATGACCAAGGAACATAGGGCTCTCAGGTACATGGGCTTCCAAGCTGTTTTGAGGGCCAGTCTGGGTACTTCCTACCAGTAAGTCCATGAGCATATTCCTCACTACTTAGTCTCTCTGAGCCCCTGGTTCCCTCACCTGTAAGAGAAAACAATTACTTATTACTGAAAAATGTTTACAAAAATCTTAGCTGTGGGCCCGGTTCACTAAGTGTTCAAGCAAAAACAGAATGAAAATGTACCAGGTAAAAGTGTAACTCACTCCCAGCTGTGGTACCCATGCTCTTTTTGCCTCCCAAAGACGGCAAGGCACACAGCAAGAGCCCTGCCCACTCCTCCGAGGCCAAGAGACATGACAATTAGCAGATGAACTTTTATCCATATTGGGTCCCCTCCTTCATGGTATCTGACTCCCACTGACTTTTCCACCAGGTGCTGCCTAGCCCAGCTGTTGACTCAACTGACATCTGAAACACCACAGCCCATCTGGATCCCAGGAAGAGATCAACCCACACTCTCTCCCACATTACTAAGGGATTGAGACACTCCAAGGCACCTGAGGCTTTCAAGGCTAGGGTGACTGTCCCTCAGTGAGGAGGAAGCTGCCAGTTTCGATCTGCACTGATAAGGAGTATGGCAGACCTGATCAGCCCTTGGGAAAGAAGTGACTCCCAGCCCACCTGCTTTTCAAACCACAAAGCCCAGTCTTGAAGGCCACTGACTTTATTGACTTAAAAAACTTTATATGGACAGTGACTGTCCTGCCAAAAGAGAAGCCAAATGGCATAAAACAGACCAGAGGTGAGAGTGGGGGTGAGGGTGGGGGCCAGAAATTCACTCAGAAAAGCTGGTTAACAACTGATCTAAAACTGGCAGGGGAAGGAGAAGGGACATGCAAGAGCAGGAATTCCAAAAAAGTTGAAATGGTGAGGGGAGAGAACTCCCCCAAAGACCCTGGAGGACATCAGAGGTGTGTAGACAGCAATCGTTTCCTTTGTAGAGGACAAGGGAGTAGCCCCCACTCAGCTGCAAACTCTGGAGACTCAAGACTGGTGTTAGGGATTGGGGGCTCCCCAGAGAGCATCACAAGAAGGCATCACACCACTCTCGAAGGCACCCGAAGCAGTCCCGGGACTGCTTTGCATTGGCGCCACATGTGTCCTTTAGCCATTCCCGGAAGAGGTCTTCATCTTTCTTTAGCACCAGAAACTGGCCAAGGACCACATAGGCCTGCAAGACAGGAAAAGCAAAGGGCAAGCTGCTCAATGATCTGTGAGACCAAAAACAATATAACCACTTATGTGGCATTCAAAACACATGAGCCTAGGAGAAAGCAGGATCTGGCTATCTCCTCAAGTTATGTACCACTGTCCACCCCGACTAGGTAAACTCACTCTCCTCACCCCCAAACTGCCAGGCAATACTGTAGTTGGCCAACCCCAGGCCTCCCCAGCTGCACACAACTACTCCACACCTTGTCAAAGCCCCTTTCCTCCAGCTTCTTTCCCAGGACTTCACCAATCCCGGCCAGGCTGCCCACTGGCTTTTCCCCCATGGGCTCTGCCACGAAGTCTCGGTGCTTTTGTGAGGTTGTCATCTTGATACGGATTAATCTGGGAATTCCAAGAAAAGTAGGTTAGGGCTAAAAACCTGGAAACTCCCAAAGGCCCACTGGCCCGTCTCATATTAAGAGAAAGCTAAACCAGCCATTATGGTGGCATACCCGATTTCCCTCATTTCACGGATAAGAAAACTGAGGTTCAAAAAGAGTTTCCCTCACTATTTGAGAGAAACAAATTTCTTCCACTCCCTGCGGGAAGTGGGTTTTGGTATTGCCCTAAAGGACAGACTATCCGGCCCTATCAGGTGGCGCACGCGGGGCACTGGCCAGGGCTCGCCCCGAAGGTGTCACGCCCTCTGTGACCTTGGCTGGGAGAAAAAAGCACTGACCCAGCCTGGAACGGCTACCAGGCATGACAGGCAAACAAAAGGTGCCCCTGCCCCACCCTCCTCAGAGACGCTCACAGGCGCAGAGCTTGCACACCAGCCACCCGGCTTTGCCGGATGCACGCCTGGGCTCCCGCCAGCCCCGCCCCCAACGCGCGCCGCCCCGCCCCGCCTCTCCACGCGCTGCCGCGCCCACGCGCCGCGTCCCGCCGCCGAGCCCTCTCCGAGGGCGCAGCGCTTGCTACCCCTTCTCCTCTCCTCCGTGCACCTCCTCTGTGTCCCAGACCGGGCCCTGCTCCGCGGCTGGCGCTCACCGGCAGCTCCAGCTCCCGTAACGGCTCCTCCCGCCGCCCGGCTGCTCCCGCCGTGCCTCAACCCACTAGAACTTTCTTCCACTTCCGCTTCCGGGTCGCCTAAAAAACACAAATTTGGCACTTCTAGCCGCTTAGAGCCATAGAGATGAGGCGCTCTGGACCTCCACGGCGACCTTAGTGGGCCCTCTTCCCAGCCGATTCGCAGGAAGCTGGGCTGCTGTATGTGGTCTCGCTTCTCGGGCAGCATTTCCAGTCACAGGGAGCAGAGGCCTCGGTGGAGAAAACTTCATTTCCCCGCCGCCCGACATCCGGAACTCAAGGACCTAGCCTTGGGCGACCAGGCGGTGGGAAGAGTAAGACACACGGACTAGGAGGGAGGAGGGTGGCCGGAGGCTAACCACAGAGCACCGGAAGTACGCTCTCCGAAGGGTCCGACTCAGGCCAACCTGTGTCGGGTTTTTAGCAATCGTGTTGGAACCGGGGGTGCCGAAGAACTGAGTCCAAGCAAACTCCACCGTCGTCACCACCGGCAAGTTCACTGTCTGTGCTTTCATTGTCGCAGCTGCGGAGTGAGTCGTGGACGAGCCACTCCAGCGTCCAGCCTGGAGAACGGGGCCGTTCCGGCAGCGCCCGTGGGAGAAGAGGGCCAGAAGGTAGGTGCCGGGGTGTCTGTCTGTCTGTCTCTTTCTCGTCATCTCAGAACCGAAGTCAGAAATATAGCAGATGCCCCGACCGACCCGGCTTGCCGCTCCCGTTAGGGAGCTCGTTCCCGGCGCGGCCCATTGGGGTGGTCTCCTGGCCGGTCTCTCCCCGTAGGGTGTTGAGAGGGATTGAGCGTCTGTGGCGTGTGGCAGTGCTACACTGGGATGGTCAAGCATATTGAGTAAGACACGGTTTAGTTGACCCCTTCTTCCCGAGCGAGTGCCAGAATGGTTTCCTGTAGTATTTATAATTATACCAGTACTTATGATAACGTGAATTGTTTTTACATGCCATACGATGTGCTAAGTGCTTTTCTATCATCTCATCCTAATAACAGTGTTCTGCGTTGGCTATTATTTTTCTCAGCGGTCTAGAGATTTGAACAGTAAGGGCTGTCAGCCTAAGAACCTCCAAACCTGTGGAGAATTTTTATAAGAGTTTGAGCCAAAGTGGCAACATATGCCAGGGAGCAAGAACTTAAACGCTCTGGAGATGATCGGTTCTGCAGTTCCTTTTTTGAATTTGAAATTAAGGAGGGAGCTAAGGATGATTACATGAGGGTGAGAGAAGGCAAAGCTAGGATTGGGTTACAGGATGTTAATGAGCTTACATGCTCTTTTGAGGTTGGTCATGCCTTAAAAACCTTTCACTAAAGAAGTTATAAACCTGTGTCCTGGCCAAGTAGTTCAGTCGGTTAGAGCTTCATCCCCATACACCAATGTTGTGGGTTCGATCTCCAGTCAGGACACATAGAAGACGCAACCAATAAATGCACAACTAAGTGGAACAACAAATCGACGTTCCTCTCTCTCTAAAATCAATCGTTAAGTAAAAAAAAAAGTTACAGGCCTGGGGCATGACTGTCCATCATGACCTGCCCAGTTAGGAATTTATTATCAGATCACCCTGTGAGGTCATTTTCCATAGAACCCCTTTTTTTGTCCTCAGGAAATAGTCAAGGTAGGACTTCAATCCAAGGCATTAGATTTCAGAGCGTTCGTTCTTAACCAGGATATAGTGTTATATCCTCAGTAAAAGGTCCCTCCCCATTTTCAAAACAGTCCTGGATTCTGAGCCTGCCATCCAAGAAACTCGGGAGGACGGGTTGACGGCCTCTGCTTCCCTCACCACATTGGGACAGGACTCAGCATGTCTCAGGCCACCAAGAGGAAGCATGTAGTGAAGGAGGTGTTGGGGGAGCATATGGTACCCTCTGACCAGCAGCAGATCGTGAGGGTGAGTAGCATTGAACACAAGCTGCTCTGCCCCCACCCCTCCACTCTTGTTGGGCCCCTGCAGTGGGGGGAGGGTACAGTACAGCTCAGTGGGTCTTTGAGCTGGCCGATGAGACCAACTGGTTCTTGGTCTCCTGGAATAGGTACTCAGGACCCCAGGGAACAATCTGCATGAAGTGGAGACAGCCCAGGGGCAGCGTTTCCTGGTGAGCATGCCTTCCAAATATCGCAAGAACATCTGGATCAAGAGAGGTGAGAGAGGCGGCCCTCTAGAAGATAGGACCATTTCTTGTGGCCTTGGCTTCCACCACTGCAAGCTGGACTGACTGTACCTCTTGTCCTCTCTACCTGCAGGGGACTTTCTCATTGTTGACCCTATTGAAGAGGGAGAAAAGGTGAAGGCCGAGATCTCCTTTGTGCTCTGCAAAGACCATGTGCGCTCTTTGCAGAAGGAGGGGCTCTGGTAGGTGGTGCTCTTGGTCATTGGCTGCCTGATTTTTGGGGGGATTGACTTCCTAGCTGTGAAACTGGGGAGGAAATATCTTGGCATCCCAGGCAGGGATAGCTGGAAACAGCTTTTATGCTGAAAGATTTCTCTGTTCTTTCTGACCCTTGTTTTTTATCTTGACACAGGCCTGAGGCCTTCTCTGAAGTGGCTGAGAAACACAACAACAGGAACAGGTGAGGTTCAAGCCTCAGGGTAGGGAAGACAGAAAAAAGGGTTCAAGCTTTAATGCTGTAGGGGGAAATAGAGCCTTCCTGTCTCCCTGGTGAGACTTCTAAATATGTGGTTATAGGTATGGCTTAAAAGTTCATTGCTGAGGGTTAAAATACTGGCTTTGCCACTTATAAATGAGGGACTTTACACAGGTTCCTTAATCTCTTAAGCCTGGCTTTCTTCACCTATAAAATGGGAGCCTTGCCCTGGCTGGTTTGGCTCAGCGGTTAGAGCGTCAGCCTATGGACCAGAGAGTCCTGGGTTCGGTTCCCGCTAAGGGCATGTACTTCAGTTGCAGTTTGTCCCCGGCCCCGGTTGGGTCGTGTAGGTGGCAACCAGTCGATGTGTCTACATCGATGTTTCTCTCTCTCTCTTCCTTCTTCCCTCCTACTCTATCTGAAGATAAATGCAAAAATGTCTTCAGGTGAGGATAAAATATATGTATATATTAAAAAATGGGAGCCTTGTAAGGATTAAAGGAGCTGATGCTTATAAAATTGCTTAATGTAGTATCTGGTATGCAGTGTGGGTCCATTGCGCGTTGGTAGAATCATTATCATTAAAATCAGTTGCTCTAGTGAACTTTTGAGGGTGGGGGATTGTCTTGAGCCTGTTTTCCTTGGCCAACTTTTCCTGCTATTTGCTGTGACTGTCCCTGTCTGACTTGCTGAACCCTGACTGCTTGGCCCTAGGTTTTTCTTTTTGTAGGCTCCTTGATTGCAGATTGGGCTTTCCCAGAAGGCATTGGGCTAACTCTGTCCTTTTACCCCATGAAGACAGACTCAGCCAGAACTCCCAGCTGAGCCACAGTCATCAGGAGAAGAGTCCAGCTCTGATGATGATTCTGACCTCTTTGTTAACACCAACCGCAGACAGTATCACGAGAGTGACGAGGAGAGCGAAGAGGAGGAGACAGCCTGAGGCCCCAGACCCACTTTTCCTCTTGCTCAGAGACTAGTCCTTGGACATTCCCAGGGTGCTCTGCAGATATCCCCTCCCCCAGATGGGGACAAGGCAGGACTCCTCTCTGAACTGATCTTCTGACCTAGGAGAATTAAACCCCTGGTGGGTGGTCACTTGTGCTGGTGTCTGAGTGGCTCTCTGGAAGGAGGAGGGACTTGTGGTGAAGTTAAAAATTGCTCCTTGGGCCCTAGCCAGTTTGGCTCAGCAGTTACAGCATCGGCTCGCAGACCAGAGAGACCCGGGTTCGGTTCCTGCTAAGGGCAAGTACCTCGGTTACAGTTTGTTCCCGCCTCCATTGGGGTCGTGTGGGTGGCAACCACTTGATGTGTCTCTCTCACATCGATATTTCTCTCTCTCTCTTTTTCCCACTTTTCTCCTGCTCTATCTGAAGGTAAATGCAAAAACATCCTCTGGTGAGGATAAAAAAATTTTTTTTTTTAATTGTTCCTTGGTAGAGGCCCCATGGGCACGTGGGCTGACTGCACAGGAAACAGGGAATGACTGGAGTCTTTCCCAGGTTCTCTCATTGGGCACTGGGTAAGTGGCGGGCCCTGTGCTGTTCTCCTTGCATGTACTTTATAATGGGAACACTCCCCCTATTGCCTGCTCACATTCAATACAAATTTAGGCATTCAGGATCACAGCCATAGGACCCAGTCTCCAGCTGCCTCTAAGATATACTCAGGATGAATTTTGTAGTGCCTCATAAGCTGTTTTCCCTACCTTTTTAGTCACCCGTGCTACATCCAGGCTGCAATGTACATCCCCTGGTCGCCAGACCCTGTGGCAACTCAGACCATCACCCCTCAGCCCTCTTGTAAACCACATCATCCCGCTTTACCTTTTTTTTAACCTCTGCCTGTACACTCTCCCTCATTGCTGGCATTGTCTTTGTGGTCACTGCTCAGACATTGAAGAGTTTATTTCCTGGATTAGAGTCTTTTACCTCTGCCTAGTCATTATTTTCTACATCATATGGATGAGCCTGTTCAACACTGTGACCCTTTAGTTCCTTGGTATCTCCATCACTGCTGCCTACATCTTTCCTCCCTAGAGCCCTGACATCAGTAGGAATTACAGCACCTTTTGAATTCAAATACCCGTACAGTCATCACCTCCTGACTTTCTTGCTTACTTGCTCACCTACCTCTCTGCAAAAATTCTTTATCTTCATCCTTCGGTCCCACCACATTCTCACCATTATTCTCCTATCTTCACATTCCTCCTTCTGCAACATGGATTCCATGACCCACACCTCCACTCCCTGGTCTTCCTCCATTGTATTCAGCTATTAAAACCTAACCCCAGCCAACCCAATTATTCACCTCTGTGCCTATAACTATTAGAGAAAACCGCCAACTGGGCTCACTAGTTTTACCTTAAATTTATAACTACAAACCTCAAATGAACTCTCAGCACTACCTAGCAGATCTCCTCGGGTGCATTTCAACACTTACCTTGTCTACCCATTCCCCCTTCCCCTGCTAGTGACCACAGCTTACACTTCACTAAAGAATAATAGGCCATTGGTAAGAACTCACGCCTCCCATTACCAACCCTACAAATGTCCTCGTGGATCTCTCTGTCTTTTTACTTTCTATTGTAATCCGATAGGACTTCAATCGTCCCGTTTATCTGCTCTCATTCACTTCCTATTACGTTGCTTAGTGTACCTTTAAACATATACATATATGTGTATATTTGCATGCATGTGTATATACATACATTTGAAGATGTTTATATACACACAAAAAGTAAACTTCAGACGAGGTAGAGAGATATAGGGGTGTGTGTATATCTATTTTTAACATGTTTGAAGTTTATTTTCTATGGGAGATAGCTAACTTTTTTCCTAAAGGTATAGCCACTTGTCCCTGTATCATTTGTTGAATGGGTCATTCTTTCCTCATTGATTTAAAAATGCCTTTTAAAATAAACTATTCCTGGCCTTTGCCTCTGTTGCTCAGTGGTTAGAGCATCAGCCCATATACCAAAGGATAGTGGGTTCGATTCTCGGTCAAGGGAAGGTACTTGGGTTGTAGATTTGATCCCCAGCCCAGGTAGGGGTGAGTATGGGAGGCAACCAATTGATGTGTCTCTCACATCTATTTTTCTCTCCTCCCTCCCTTCCACTCTCTAAAAAAATTAATGGAAAAAAATATCTTCCAGTGAGGATTAACAACAAAAAAAGAAATATGATTATTCTTCTACATTTCTTCTGGTAGGCTAAAAGATTTCCTTCTGTTCTAGCTTGCTGCGGGTTTTTTTTTTTTTTTTTTTTTTATGCTTTATTGATTTTAGAGAGAGAAGAAGGGAGAGGGAGGGAGAGAGAAGCATCGATGAGAAGGAACATCGATTGGTCACCTCCTACACACCCCCCACCAGGGATCAGGCCTACAACCTGGGCATGTGCTCTGACTGGAAATCAAACAGGCAACCTCTTGGTACATGGGTCAATGCTCAACCACTGAGCCACACCGGCCGGGCATTTATTTATTTTAATCCTCACCTGATGATATTTTTTCATATTATCAGATAGAGTCAGGTGGAGGGAGAGAGAGAGAGAAACATCAATTCGAGAGCAACACATCGACTGGTTGCTACCCCAGGACCCCGACCAGGGCTAGGGACGAACCGCAACCGAGGTACATGCCCTTGACTGGAATCGGACCCGCGGCTCATTGGTCTGCGGTCCAGCACTCTAATTGCTGAGCCAAACCGGCCAGGGCTGGTTTTTTGTTTATTCAACACATCACAATGAATTTTGACATCTATTGAGATAAAAAAAATTTTACTTTATTGTACTGATTTACATTAATAGGTTTTCTCATGTGGAACCATGCTCATGTTTTGATATGAACCATGCTCATGTTTTGATGTAAACCCTGCTTAGTTTTAAATAGTATTTATTTATTTGGGATTTTTATATCTTTCTCTGGGCAATTTTTTTTTAAAATTGATATTTAGAAAGAGAAGAAGAGGGGAAGAGAAAGAAACATCCATCGGTTGCCTCCTGCACACCTCTACCAGGGATTGAGCCTGAAATCCAGGCATGTGCCCTGGTGGAGAATCTAACCAGCGACCTTGTGCACAGGACGATGCCCAACCACTTGAGCCACACTGGCCAGGGCTCACTTTTTGTTTTAATGAGCTGATTTCCCTATCCCACCTTGATAACAGAATTATGCTACCATTTGGAATGGGTTTAGAAACATTTAATCTTTTTCTTTGGGTTTAAATATATAGAAAAGGAATTTTGTTTCTTCATTGTTTGTAAAATTTATTAAAACATCTGTGCTTGATGCCTTTTTTTAGGGGTGGATCTTTGCCTTTTAATTTTTTCTGTGGCATTTTATCTACTCAAATTTTCTGTCCTTGAGTCAATTTTGATAAGTTTTTTTTTTTTTAGAATCATATATTTAATGTATATTTAAAGTTTTGGTGGCAAAAAGTCATGCGTAATAATTTGCATTCGCGACTTTCTTATAAGTGACAGAATCTCATTTGAATTAGCAGAAGCAAACAAGCTCGTCGGCCTGAGGTCTGAAAGCTTTAGACAGCTGACCCGGGGCCGGCATGATTCCATCTGAGTTCTCTCCTCTTGTTTCTTGCATTGTCTCTCAGTTGATCTATCCCTTTCTCCCTACAAGTGTGTTTTACAAGACGCTCCCGTTTCCACTCAGTCCTTACAGACAGAGTTCCTTCATCAGGATTCCTGTGTTTCAGGGGAGACCACTTGGTCTGCCCAGTCACTTGCCCTCTCCTAAGCAATCATTGTGGCCAGAGCTGAGTAGGGGGCTAGGGGACTAGGAGGCTGGGAGGAGGCAAGATGAGCACCCCTGATCCATGACATGTGTTTGCCATGGAATAGGAGGTTCTTATACCACAAAAGGGACAAGGAGTGAAAGCAAATCAAACCAATAAGCATCTGTCCTGGTTTCTGTGTAGTTTCTTTGACTAGCTTTGCAAAATATCTGTCAACTTCATTGGCCTCTTTCTGTTTCTTTGGGTTTATTTTCTCATTACTAGCTTCTGAGTTATATGTTTTGCTAATTTAATTTAATTTCAATCTTGTATTTTAATATATTTAGGGCTATAAGTTTTCCTCGAAGTACTCTTTTGACTGTTACCCACTGTGTGTGATTTGTGTGTGTGTGTGTGTGTGTGTGATGCTTGGCCTTACATTTTCCTCCAACTCTCAGCAATTTTGCAACTTATCTAATAGACCTCCCCGCCCCCGAACCTTTTCATCTCCACTTCTTCTCTTTTCAGCCATTTAGCTCCTGGGGGTTGTAGCTCATAATCCTGATGGAGGTAGGGTCCTTGTATTCTGCATGCTTCTCCCCTTTGTCATCCTCTGAAGCTGAATTCTGTATTTCCCAACTCAGTGGTGGAATCTAACCATGTGAATAGATCTCCCAGAATGAGCTCAGTGTTCTAAGCGCTTTTTTCCCTCCCTGATGTTGTGGACAGCCCTTGTGATTGGCCGCCTGATAGTACTGACCCCTCCTGCAGTCGGGCTTGAGAATTGTGGCCCTTCAGACTCTGTACCTCTGTCCCTTTAGGACCAACCTTTTCAGCCAGGTCATTTCCACTAGGGCTTCCCTATGCAGCCCAGCTCACTTTCTTCCCTGGTCATTCAGCCACCCATATATAAAGTGGGGGCAAAAGTAAGTGTACAGCTGTGAGGACACAAAACACGAAGTTTATTCTTGTATTCTTGTTATTAATTATTGTATTGTTTTCCATACAACTGTAAACCTACTTTTGCCCTACCCTGTATATATGCCAAGGAGCACACTTGACCATCCACGCTAACCACGTGGTTTTTCTCCTTTAACCTGTAAATGTGAAGGGTGTGTGTTGAGATATCTTGACATAGTTTCTCATGTGAAACATCTTTGCATTCCTAGAATAGGAGTCGTGATACATTTTCCAGTATGTTGCTGGATTTGGTTTTCTGATATTTGGGGGGATTTTGGCATCCAGATTCCTGAGTGAGATGGCTTGAGCTTTCTCTGCCTGTGCTGCCCTCGTCTGGTGTGTACACTAAAGTTATGCCAACCTCCTGGGATGACTTGGAGCGTGTTTTCTCTCCATTTCATTACAAGTGTTTGTATGAGATTGGAATTTTGCATTTCAAAACTTTTGGTACAACTTACTGTGAAACCAACTGCCTGGCATTTGGGGGACGGTGGATAGATTTTTAACTGTAGATTTTTATTAATAATAGATTGCTCAGGTGTCTGCTCTG